CAATTCTGGTCATAATTCGGTTCCTCATTTTACCCCTGATGAAAAATCTTATAAAATTCATAGTATATCACTGGTGTTTAGTTTATACAATACGGCAGAATCAAAGATAACTATTGCAAGAATATTCCATAAGTAAGAACTATATGAATTTAAGCATTTGAAAAATATTGTGTTTGTATTCCCATGTTGATTGATTTAAATCTTAGTGTCAATTGGTGTATTGCCAATAGATAAATTTAAAATGATTCAGAAGTTCATAATCATATCTGAAATTTAATAGGATAATTTATTTATTACTTGGATACATTTTTAGTGTAAAAAAACGCTTTGCGTTATTTACAAACTTATCATTTGTTTAGCCCGTTTTTTTAAATTTAAATAATCTAATTTTTATTTTATTTTTGGGATTCCAGCATTTCTAGAATGCCCATTCTCTAAATTTCTAACAATTTTTTGTAAGATGTCAATTTATTTTGAGAAGTCAAGCGTTATAATTTACTACGCCACTGTCATATTGCCAAACATATAGTGGCATTTTTCAAAAAGAAAGTAATATCTTAATGACTAACTAAATTAAAATGGTACCTGTATAAGCATTTAGGACATATAAATTACATGGTTCTTTGTATTTTATCATAAATATATGTAATGAAATTTAATAGAAGTTATATTAAGCAGCACCGAACCCCGCCGCCGTCATAAGAGTTATTTTACAATTTTGCGACACCGATTTCTATCGAGTACCTACAACTGCCTATATTAACGGCAGCGTAGTAATTCTGTGGGACCCCTATCTCTGATAGTAAAGTTAAACGCAGTCTCAGACAATATTTTTTTCGGCGCAGAGGTCTAGAAATAAGTAATCCATAAAATAACTAAAGATAAAATATATACTCAGAAATTTATTTGGTAATGATACATTTGTGTTTAAAACCCCCATTAACACTAGCGTAACTTTATCATGATTTAAATATTATATAGACACAATAAATATTTGGGAAAAAAAACTTTCTCATAAATATCTAATTAAAAATTTAAATTTTATTATAATTTTTAATTATAATCTATAGACAGTCAAAACTTTATAATAAAATTTTTTAATAGTTATTTTATATTAAAATAATATTTATGTGACATGGGGATTTAACGAATCGTGGTTTCTGGTAAATTTTTAACTTAAATCATTAATAGCGCGCACTTTTTAAATTTTGAAAAAGAAAAAATGAAAGAATAAAAGAAATAAAGTATTGAGCTAATCAATTTGTTGTATCATCGATTTTTTTTAAAAATCATTTGATATTTTAAATTTTTGTTATATAATCTTATATGTTTTACTTTATTCTACTTTAAATTTATATTTAGATTAAATCTAAAAAAAATGCAATAAATAAACTTTATAAAAAGTTGAAAAGATCAGTTGAAATTAAAATGTAACATTATTATTTTTACGATATGTACAATTATAAATTTTTTAAATTACAATAAATAAAATTATCATTATGCGAATCTCGAACTTTCCATCATGGTGGCTAGGATAAATTCAAATCGCGCTCCTGCAATAATTACAATACATTCCTTCTAGTTTTTTATTATTAGGGGAATTTCGTGACAAATAAAAAATAAAATTAAAAAGTTTAACAAAATTAAAATAGTTAAAGATAACATAAAAAGAACCAACATCAAAAAAAATAAGACTATTATCACCAATCATGCACTGCTTGACATTCTAAATCCTAATTCAAAATACATGGACATAAAAGACAATACCATCTTCAAATTTCCCAAAACAACAGCAACGACAGCGTGTATATTGATAAAGTACAAAGCTTTTTAGATACAAGCAAGATTTCTGGCGGGGAAAGGTTGCTTTCTGCACTTAACAATTAATTCAATCACACTAAGCGGTTTACACAGAAGCACACTTTATGGACCCCATCGCTCTTCTAGGTAAATTTAAATTACGACATATTTCCAACGAGAAAGCCAAACTCATCGAATTCTATGCTACCGTTTAAGTTGGTCACAACCAGACTAAATCAAGACTGCAAATTTATTGGAATTCAACATATCATTGCAAGATCAGGGTAACTACAATTTTTAAAGAGGTGAGGAAAAAAGTTTTAAATACTTTTACCAAAGAAGATATCTATAACTTAGGTCTAGAGGAAGAGATTATAGTAGTTAGTGATCTCAAACTTATGGCTAAGTTCGATGCGATACATTTAGGTGAATCGTCACAAACAGAAGGGTAGATAAAACACATGGTAAAGTTAAGAGAAGCTATAAGGTCGAAGGAAGAATTAAAACAGGATATGAATGAATACAATAGATTTCTATTAAAATATTATGTTAATACGAAACAAACACAGTTCTATTCGATGACGTTCGTCATCAATGGATTCCTCGTCCATATTTTGATTGCCATGGATGCAGTCATCAAAGCCACAGCCCAAACAATGACAGCCAAAGATGCTACTACTATAATCACACACCATGTTACAACTCGCCGAGATCTCAAGAAATAAACGACAACCACAGACCTATATATTATGAGCGCGATGGTCTACATAGCTATGACAAGAGTACATTATATCCTGGTTTTCCAAGGTTCTAACCGAGAAAGAGCTACAATTAAAACAAATTTAGTAGTAACAATAATCACCTTAAAAATAATTCTCATAAACGGTTTTGGGAACCAAGAAATTACTAGGATATAATTCTATTATACGTAACAACCAAAATTATAATAATAACAATAGACTCAATGCTATCTATACTACAATAGCAAGTTATCACAGGATAACTCCAACTACAATATAAATGTGAAACGTCACGATTTACAACGTTGAGAACTAAGCTTGATACTTAAATAAAATAAATTCATTGAATATAGATTGGAATCAAAATATAATATTATACTTTTTACGATAAAATGAATTTTTTGAATTACAATAAATAAAATTATTATCATGTGAAACTCGTATGAAAGAAAGAAAGAAAGAAAGAAAGAAAGAAAGAAAGAAAGAAAGAAAGAAAGAAAGAAAGAAAGAAAGAAAGAAAGAAAGAAAGAAAGAAAGAAAGAAAGAAAGAAAGAAAGAAAGAAAGCAAGAAAGAAAGAACTAAAGAAAAATATAATATCGTTTCTTTAAATCATATGGTTTCTTAAATTTCATATAGGAAGTTTTATAACGTAGTTTATTGAAGAAATTTATAAAAATTGTTAGCCTAACTTTAATTTTTTAATATATAATAAAAATCGGAATTACTCTGCGGCGTAGATTCCTTTACTTTAAAACACTAATAAATATTGTTAAAGGAAAAATTGAAAATGTGTCAAATTGCAGCTGCTCCAAATGGTTGCTGCCCTAAATTATCTCTGCGCGCAATTAATGACACGAAATTACACAGCACCCAAATGACAGCTCCAATGTGAATATTTAAAAGTTAAGTGTTTTGATTTTATCATACACTACACTAAAGATTTTTCTTACAAACTATTAAAAATGAAATACTATAGAAAATAAATAATGAAACACTTTTGGGTATTTCCAATATCATTATTTCATAAATTATTTATTCATTAATAAATTTTTGTGTTTAATATTTTTACATCATATATATCATTGTTACATCCATAGATAAAGTTTTCATATTATTTTATAATCTAAGAACTAAAAAAATATTTTCTTATATTATATAAGTTTTATTTTAATACATTAAAATTCAATTTTTTATTAAAATTCATGTACAAATATGATAAAATATTATTATTTAAAAATTAACATTATAATATAGAGAATATAATAAAATATGTCATATATCAGTTTAGGCTTAAAAAAAAGTGATACAAATGTATATTTTTATAAAAAGAAAAAAAACATATTAAAAAAAATAGCGAGGTCGGGCCATGATGTTTTAAATATTTGATAATTAGATCTAATTATAGATACTGCGATTTTCTGCTTGAGTTTGTAAAATGGAGAAAGGTATGATTTTTTTATAGATTTGGATATTATTTTGAATAGATTTAAAGCCGCTTGTCCAAAAGAGCAGGTTGATGTAGCTGCTATAGGAACAAAGTGGTTATTACACATTAGGTGTGAGTATTTTATATTTTTTTAGAGATTCGGCTCTGTTAAGAGGATCATGGGAATTATTAGATGTAGCCATGGGATCAATGCAGGTAAAATCCCACATTAAAAGCTTTCCCATGAAAAAAGATACGACGGTTTTGCCACCAGGGCGTTTTTTTTTTATCTAAAAAGGATGTAGGTCTAAAATAAAGGGAAAATTGGCTTTATTTAAAAAAGAAGCTATTATTGCATTTATTTTATCATGTCGGCTGATTTTTCATATAAATTTAGAGTGGAGAGAGTGTCTCCCATACGCGTCTGCCGATTGATTGCATTTAATGCAAATATAATGGGTGTAAATTGATTGCATAACGAAAAGCGTCTTTATCTAATAGCTGGTTATTTAAAATGCTGGGATATGAATCTAACATGCGATTATTTGAAAATAAAAAACATATAAATAAAAATAAATCAAAAATATATATTAAAAATATCTATCCAGCTAAAATTATTAATATATAATTCTAAAAAAACATTTAATACATAAGTTATTCTAATATTAATTAACTCATTAAATTTTAGAATATTTATTTTTGTCTGGTATAACATTTTATATAATAATTATAAATGAGGGAATAAAATATTAGAGAATTAATCTAAATATTTATTTAATATAATGATATAAAAAATTTAAAAAACTTTAAATTTATTATCAAATAATCTTGATTTAATAAGCATTGGTTTTCCTGTAAATATATCATTAATGCGGAGTCTCTCAGCATTGAAATCATTTAGCTGAGTCTCATATTTTCTCTCTAAATTCATAAAGAACTTCTAATTTTATTGATAATCTAATTTATTGAAAACCCGTTAACCTTATTCAACCAATAAGTTACCAATGATTCATGGAACTCTTTTCAATACCTTTCTAGGTTAGGTTTATTGTCAAAAAAGAAAAAAGGAACAATTATGCCAACTTCATTCAAATATGAATGATCATCGTGCAGAATTAGACACAAATATTTTAAATTTTGTTTCTGACATGGAAAATGAAAGAGAAAAGGTGTCATCAGACAGCGAAGAGAGCCATATTAGTGATAAAGAAAACTCCCTACAAAGATTATGGAATCATTTTCAAATGGCTGCTATTGCAGTTTCACAACTTTATAAATGTATTTTTTGGCTTAGATATTTTTATACTTCAATTATTTAAAAGCATGTGAAAATATAAACCCTAGTGTTGAACAAGAAGAATTGTGGATTCCATTTCAAAATGCATCTCTTGCTATCACCTCATTGTATAAAGGTGAATTTTACATTTAATTGCCCTTAACATCTAATCTTTTAAACATATAAAGAAGCTGTTGAATCTCAGCAAAAAAGATTTGAAATTGCCTTCAATTTAGGCCAAAGAAAAAGAACCAAAGAAATTAAAGCTTGGTTATCTTCTGTTCACTCAAAGTCATCACAGATTAAAAGAAACAATAATAATTATTTTAATTATACCTCAGGCAATAATAAACGAATTAAAAGGGACGAGATGGTAGCATTTTTAGAATACTTAGATGCCAAATCAGGGTTTTACCATAAATGCAAATCATTATCACCTCGGAACTACCTGTCTTCTCCTAGGTTAAATAATATATACATTTATGTTAGCTATAATATAATATTTTTTTTATTATAACCCTTTTTATTTTTGATTGCCATCTAAGATAATATAAATGGAAAAATTCCAATTACTAATCAATTAAATAGGCTTCAAAGGGCAGGAGTTAATTTAAATTATAATTTATAATATAGCTTATTTGCTTTTAACCTAAATTATATTCAGGTTGAAAGCAATAAAATATTTCAGGTAGTTAATAAATTTTGATATCTTCTGGATGAAATATATTTATTATATAATATTAATCATTTATTTAATTTTTATATTTTCTGGCCAATTATTTATGCCTTAAGGAAAAGCTTTTTTAATATTAATTTTTTACACGCCTTATGAATTTAAAAAAAAATAATAATATGATTTTGCTCATTGTCATTCATTTATATAGTGTTTCTAAAAATGATTTCAAATTTTTGATCTGAATGGTATATGATTTAGTTAAATTTCACATAGCTCAACATGGTTGCCAGGTCTCACCCCTCTGCAATAAATCCACAATTTAAATATCCCATAGTAAAAAAAATTTATGAAGGCAGAGATTTTGAAAATAAACATAATTATTTTGAATATAAATACAAGTACATTTTAAGAAAATGTATTTTAAATATAAATATTAAATGCCTATAAAATAATATAATTTTAAAAAAGTAATAACATTATAAATGATATTTTTATTAACCATTTTATAAAAATTAACTAATTAAAATAATATAATAATAACAAAAAAACTTAATTAATGCAATTATATATATATTTTTTTGTGATATTTAGTTTTTTCACTAAATATCATATTATTAATATTAAATTTCAAACATTATTTATTGCACAATTGCATATACTATAGACCGTGACTGCTACTGCCCATGATTCACACCCACGTTTATTAAATATCAAGACTCATATAATGCTATATTTAAAAAATGTTTTTAATTCTTGCATTTTTTAATAAATATAATTTCTATCTACCCTAAGAAAAACTATTAAGGTAATATTTTAAATAATATTTAGAATAGATTCTATAAGTTGTTATTAATAAAATATCTGAAAAAACAGTTTCCATCACTTATAATTGGATCAACTTTATTAGGATCCCCCTATTCCAATTTTGAGTATTTTGCCACACACTCAAAGTCATGCCTGACTTATCAGAATGATATTTTTTTTCATTCTGATGTTGTTGGCTGGAAAACAAATGAAATCTTGAGGTTGATAATTATCAACAAGTTTATTCACTAAAATAATATTTATATTTTTAACTAAAAATATATCATACATAACACTTTTGGCTTGGGTAGGTAATTTTCTATGGAAAATGTAATATGTGTTTTTGCCCTCTGCTGCTTGCTAAAAGAATATGGACCTTTTTTAATAAATAAAATATATAATAGCTTGTGTATATATTACAACTAACCAACTAGTGTATAAATTACAACTAACCAAAAGCAAGTTTGGAGTTCAGTGCTTGTATATTGTGATATCCAATCCCATTTATATTACTAGCTTAAATTCAAAATTTACTATATATAAAAATGTAATTTTGTTACTTGACTAGGGCAAAATAAGGCCTGACACATAGCTTTTTAGCAAGGGTATTATTTTGTTGTGACTTGAACCCCATTTTGTTTGGTATTATATTACTACCTTAAAAACAAAATTTACTATATATAAAAATGTTATTTTGTTACTTGACAATGGCAAAATAGGGCCTGACATAGCTTTTAGCAAGGGTGTTATTAGGTTGTGACTTGAACCCCATTTTGATTGGTAATATTTTTCTGTCTTAATTTATTATATTATTTTATATAAAATATAATTTTGTTACTTGCTGAAAATTTCCTCCCTTTCCTCGAAAGACCTATCACTGATAAATCAGATTGTCTGAATCTACCTCTTGAGAGGCATTTTTTTTGATACATTTTATATTTTTGAGAGTTTCGAAAATTATTTTACAAAAAATAAGCATACCTTGTCGACTGTTTATTAATTTGGGCATAACTATGGTATTGGAAAAAATAATTTGAGATCCAGTTCCATAACATCAAAATATTTTCCAGCTTTGACTATATCTTCATGTTTTTTTAATTTTTCAATAAATACATCAAAGATTTCTTGAAGAAGGTCGTTTACCCTGAAAAGGGCAGCAATATTCTTTGCACCTTTTTAAATTTTTCATCGATAGTTAAATTTGTTAAAGGAAAAGTATGATGTTTTTTGATATATTTAAGAATGACTGCGCTGAGTGTTCAGGTGCCAATTATAATGTATTCTGCATATATTTTTTGCTACATCTCTCACCACAAAGTTGACTAAGATAAATATCCAATTTTGAGATAGCATGAAGTGCTAGTATATGACGATGAGGAAGCTTATTGCCAAAAATCCACAGGCACAGGAATCCAATCTGACTTTTCGGTGATAGGTATTTCAAGGAAAGGGAGGAAATTTTCATTAAGTAACTAAATTACATTTTACATAAAATAATTTAATAAATGAAGGCAGAAATATATTACCAATCAAAATGGGGTTCAAGTCACAACCAAATAATACCCTTGCTAAAAACGCTGTGGGAGGCCCTATTTTGTCGTCGTCAAGTAACAAAGTATTACATTTTTATTTAAAATATATTTCATTTTTAAGGTAGTAATATAATACCAATCCAAATATACCTTAATAGTTTTTCTTAGGTAAAGAAAAATTATATTTATTAAAAAAGAAATAAATTTTTTTTTAAAATATAGCGGTATATCAGTCTTGTTATTTAATAAACATGGTTGTGATATTTAGTTTTTTCACTAAATATCGCGGGCGCTAGCAGTAGTAACGGCCTGCAAATATATAAGAGTTATAACATCGAGCATATATAATAAACATAAAACTATTCTAATAATTCTTTGCGCCTCTTATTTTATGGGTTCTTCTGGAAGATATTTTGAAGTACTTTCCTCTAATATGGTTAAATGATATGAAAATATCTCAGATACCCAGCTAAAACTATTTAATAAACTATTATAAATATTATGGATCTGGAATTTGTAACTTAGTCCTATATTATCTTGAAAAAAAATATATTTCTTCACTCTCATTTTCGGTATCTTTTTAATAAAATAGGGTGAAATAGATACGATCTTGTTTTTTGTCACCAAACTTGAATCGCAAAATTAATATTTAAATAAATAAATTGTGGAAAGTGTTGTTAAACGGCTCGTTTTAAGCCGATTTTTAAAAACGGCTAACTCAATATTTTAGCCCTAAAAATGTGGCATAAGCCTCAAGATTTCGACAATATATATCTGGACCTTTGTTCCTTCTATGATCAAAATCTTCAGGCTTGGGTAATATTTTTCTGGATGATGTATTGAGTTAGCCGTTTTTAAAAATCGGCACAAAACGAGCCGTTTAACAACACTAATTGTATTTCACATTTTATAATTTAATATTACAAAATATTTTTTAATATTAAATACAAATATAAAATACTCTCTAAATTAGTGCAACTCTACTCTAAATTATTCAAATAAATACTAAATACAAATATAACTCGGATCACAAAATTAATATTGAATTTGTATTTAAATACAAGTATTCACGATACTTACCAACCCTGAGGGTAGGTGACAATTATTTTTAAAATTAGTTGGCTACATTAAGATATAACATGACTGACAAAATAATTAGATTATACCTGTTTTCTAAATTTTTTTCTGTCTATGGAGTAGTCTTGCATAAAATGATTTGTATTTTAAAAAAAATCGCTGCGATTGGCTTTTGGTTTCATGACTCAAGTCGCGCGATCGGTAACTATGAATGCGATATGATATTTACTGTATTTTATATTTGGCTCAATATAAATTCAGGGTTGGACCTTTGACTTTAACTATCTCCCCAAATTAAAAAAAATTAATACTATTGAATGATAAATAATATTCAGAAATATTATTTGCTTAATTTTTTTATTTTATAATTAAATTTAAAAAGAAATTAAAGATTATCTAGTCTAGTTTGTTTTAGTTAAATATAAGAAATGGATGTATCCTCAAATAAAGAAATTTCAGATTTTTCTTATTGGAATTCAGTTTTTAAAAATAATGATAAATATATTTTAAACTATAATACGAAATGCGCATGACATTTTCTCATTGGAATAAAATAATTTGATTTTGTAAAGAACAAAAAATGGAATCCAATAAGTCATATCTCATAACCCGTCCGAAAGCTGGACCTTTGCGAGAAATATTTCTTCCGCGATTTGAATATTTTGACCTGGAAACCATGCCAGTGTAGTATTGTAAAATCAATACCATCTAAAATCAATATACGGTATTGATAATTTATGACGGAACCTCAACTTTTACGAATAAAATCTAAAATATAAAAATCTTTGAATTGACATTTATAGATGAATCGACAATTATATTATTTTAAAATTTTCTGCAGGATGGAGTTGAATAAACAATATAATTTTAACCAAAAGAAGAAAATTATTACAAATATTGAGTAATATCAAGAATTGTAAAATAAGTAAATTCCCCGAAAAAATTATATAAAAGAAGAAAATCATTTAAATATATTTAAAACTATTAAATCTAGTGTTGTTAAAAAAGATTGCTAACTCAATATTTTATCCAGAAAATATTGCCTAAGCCTCGAGATTTCGCTAATAGATGTCCAAACCTTTGTTCCTTCTACAAATAAAATCTTCAGGCTCTGGATGAAATATTGATTTAGCCGTTTTCAAAAATCGGCTCAAAACGAGCCGTTTAACTACAATAATTAAATCTATTTTAAATAAAAAATTTTACAAATCGAAAATGGCCGCCAATATTTTTGAAGCGATGTGAAAAATATTTTACATTTTTAATGGCCGCCAATATATTTGAAACGATGAAAAAATATATAATTAAAAAATATTTTACAATTTTATAAGCCGACAATATATTTGAAGCGATGAAAACATCTCTTCAAAATCAATACGGTATTGAAACTACAATAGATGGTTTTCACAATCCTACACCGGAGTGATTCTTATAATTTAAAAAAGGCCATTTCACCTAGTTCATCTTGTTTACATTACATGATAGGATAAGAAAGTGCATTATGTTTGTAATTTTTTTAAAAAATAAATGTAAAATCTGGATAATTCTGAATAATTTTTAAAATTAATTTTCCTGTCCCATTCCACTTCCTTCCTATAAAATATTAGCCCATTTTTGTTCCCGGAACTAAATACTTAATCTGTAAAATATTATAATCGATACCTTAAGGTTTTTAAAGCGGTTAGAACCAGATTTAAAATCTTCTCTTGTTAAAAATCGCCATTTTGAATATAGCAGGAGTTAAACCCTAACCAAGTATTATCTGGTTTTAAAGGTTCACCTAATATTAATTAATTCATGGTAATGCAGCAAATGTTGGTTTTTAGATTTACTTCTATTTTCTGTGCTTTTCCAAGGAATAAAAGAAAATTTAAAATTATATTATTTGGGTTCATAAAATAACTGCCTTATATTATTATTATCTAAGATCAAATGATTGAAAATGAAAATTATTAACGTTAATGATTGGAGATCTAAATTTATTATATTTTAACTTATTCACCATGATTTTAAAAGATAATATCTTTGATTAATTTTTATAGCCATATTTCTATTCCGTGATTTAATATTTATGTTTTCTCCTCCCCCTAAAAAACTCCAACTCCTATTTTTTTTAGAAACCGTGGCTTTTCATCATCGCCCTCACCTTCACCAAATAATCTAAGACACCGGGTAGATCACGCTAACCACATGATCAATCAGGTCCAATCAGAAGAGAGGATCGAATCTTCCCGCCGAGGCAGGGAACAGATAAACGAGGAATTGGACGTTAATAACTTTGTTCAAGCTCTCAACATGAATGGTTATTTACTTATATTTAGTATAATAATGTAATCTAATAACACCTTTATTTATTTTATTATGGGAAAATTCATCATGTCATATATTATTGGGAGTGGCATTAGAGGTGGGCGCGGGCCGTGAAATTACGCGTACGCGATGGGTCACGGCATGAATGTGAATAAATTTTAAATTATTAGGCGTGACGGGCCTTCCCATTTGCCGGGCGTGATTGGGTGTGAATATAAATATCCCGTTAATCAAGGAAATTATAATTTTTAAAACTGTTTTTTATGAATATAAATTTGCAATTTTATTATTATACAATATATATATTTTTTATAATTTAATTTAGTTCTGTTTGAAAAAATAATAATTTTTGAAAACAAAAAAATACTTCCGCATTTAACATTTTTTTCCCCCGTTTTATAAAATTTCAATTGAATGAAAAACAATAAATCTCCCAACTCTCGTTCAGCAAAAATTTGGGAAATAAATAAATTTAATTTAAATGTTTTATTTTCATTTATCTTTACTAAAATTTAATTCAAAGAATTCTCGGTTAATCTGAGCTCGGATTCTCGTCCAAAGTATGTGAAGTTCATCTATAAAAAAAAAATTAGTAAAATTTTGTCAACCTTCTGAAGGTGATACGATAATTATCAAAACCATAAAAAAACAGGACATTCTTTTGATGGAAAGATTTATTATGCAGCCAGTATATAAGTTAGGCTTAATTCTAGATCCGAATTTCAAGTTTTTAATAGACGAAGAAAAGGAAGATATATAATATAAAACAATAATTAGATGATATGTGTATACTGTCATTTATAACTTTTTTAGTTTAACCTACACACATAAAAAACCTAATATCTTAATTGAATCATTAAGTCAATTTCCAGATGATTATATTTATAGTGAAGATATCGATGAAAGTTGTGAGCATGAACTTAAAAGATTAATGGCTCATAAAACAAATAACAATGACAATATTCTTTGAAGTTTTGGAAGCAGTAAAATTGATTTCCTTTTTTGAGAATAGCTAATAAAATTTTATCAGCCCCGACAAGCTCCCAGTGAAAGGTAATTTTCTATAACCAATCTTATTAGAAGAATGGCGAACACAATTGAAATAAAGAACTCGAACATTACTCTTTTTCTAAATAAAAATTTTGATTTATTAATTATAATTATTTTGTGTTATTAATATGGAATTGGAGAAATAAAATACAAAAAGCTTAAGTATAGCAATAAAATCTGGAAAAATTTTAAAACAACCGTGAATTTTCGGGTGTGACGGGCGTGATGATAATATTGTCTTTCGTGAGCAGGCGGGTTGGGTAAAAAAATTTTCAGCAGTAAGCGTGAGGAGGCGTGACTTTTTTTATTGCCATCTTGAGTGGGCTTGCCGTGAATAAAAAATTAGGCCCGCGCTCACCTCTAATTGGCATTACTAAGATTGAAATTTTTTAAAATATTATTTTATACATAAAAACTTAACTTCTCACCACCTTTTTTTAAAAAAAGAAATTTAACTGATAGTTTTTTAGAATAGTTAGAATTTTCCTTGTGATCTCAAATAACTCCCAGTGATAAATTAAAATTTTTTGCTTTACCCCCATAACTAAAAATAATCCCCTCACTTTATTGGTTATTAATATCTAACAAAAAATAAATTTAAAAATAGAGGATCCAATAGAAAGGAGTTTAGTGAAAAATTAAAATGAGGTCGGGCTGGGAAAAAAATTGATGGAACTTAGAATTTTTCCATTTGCAGACCTCTGATATACATTACCCTTAAAAATATGGAAAATGCACATTTTATAACTTTATAAATGTTCCATTTTTATAGAAAATAGGGAATTAAATAAAATAGCAAATTTTAATATGAATTTCAAAAGTTATACTTGAAGAAGATAATTTTAGATTACATAAATTCTTCCATCCAACACTTAATTAGCTCGGAATACCTTGAAATATAAATGAATTTTTTGCAAAATATAATTTTCATTGTTAAAAAAAATATTCTCCTATTTTATATTACCAATACCAGCATTATATTTTTCATTCCTGATCTAATATTTTTTTTATATGATATTTAATATGGATTTATATAGCATTTACATTTTCAATACATGTATTTTAAAAAATTACAGTAAATTAGATATCTAAATTATATAATATTAGCAACTGGCCATGCTACTTTATTTAAATTTTTTTTAAAAATGGTTATCCATCATACGAATATTTAATATCAGAATGGCATTTCTATTATCAATCTTGATAAAACCAAAATGAATTTGTGTGAATTAAGAAATAAAACATTTTATTTTGTTAATTACAATATCAATTATAACGAAAAATTAAATAATTATAATTTTGATATATATATATAGTAAATAAATAAAATTCAATTAAAAAAATAATAAACAGAACACATTAAACAGGAATAACCATAATAATATTCATTTTCACAAAATTAATATGGCTATAATATTGATAAATTTTTTAAGCCCGTTTGGAATTTAATAATTAAGATCTTATCTGAGCCATGCATCCATGATCTTTGTACAAATTAAAATCAATTATTATACTAATTGATATTTACTTTATCTTGAACAAATAAAGATATTATTCGATTCTATATAAATAGTCAATTTTGAAAGGAAACGCAATTCTCTTGAGTTGTATTAAAATCTAGATTTTTTACAAAATAATTAAACACGTGATAGTGCAGTCTCAAAGCGTTGGATTTTGATACGGAGTATCCCAGGTATGTTAGCCAAAAAAATTAACATTAGGTTATTTAGTCTCCTTAAATTGAAGTAACTATTAATTCATGTAATACTTGATTTTATTCATACAATAGATCATGCGGCATGGCTCTACTTTATCTAGTAATAAATGTTAAAATTTATTTTATGCTTCTAATACTTTTTTTTTAAAATGACGCTTAGGAATTTATAAAAGATATGTGATTTGTATCTTAAATTCCCAGTGAAAATTTTACTACAGCAATTAATCGATGGATCTTAGAACCCAATCCTTGTAAAAACAACTATTTTAAAGGAAGGGCTTATGAGACATATTCAAGAGAAGATTGTGTCTTAAAAAATTATACTTGGAAAACGTCATGCAGTCACTCGGGATTTAGATTTATGACTTGAAAGTCTATTATAATTAGAAAACTGATTTCTGCTACAAACATGTCAAAGGAAGATTATATAAAGTTGGGATAGTCGTTATTATAAAATGTCTATCTATACTAATCTTTAATTTAGACTATAAAAGAAATATTAATGTTGATTCAAAAAAAGGAAAAGATTAAAAATAGGCTCTTAAATACGGTGATTTGCTAAGTGGATCCTGAAAAATGGAGGAACGTTCTCCTTTCATATAAATCCGACAATGTTAAGGATTCTGCAATAAGAAATAAGAATGAAGCCTTTCGTACTGATTCTTTAAAAATAAACTGCCAAATATCCATTCCAGAGAGCACAATGACATGGATTTTTTTATTCTAAAGGCGAAGCTGATTGTGAACGGCATAATAAACGCTTTAAAATGTATTAATAGATATTAGATCAACAACTTTACCCAAATCATCTATTCCTTATTTCCTGGTGGCACACATGTATTTTAAAAATATGGGGCACCATGTCATAGTGCGAAATAGTTTTAAAAATGGTTATCTAAAAGAAGGACCCATATTTTGGATGGTCAGCATCGTTATAAGTCCAATTGAAGCTATATGCTATCACTAAGAAGCCATTTAAAATCGTTCCTACTACCCAACTACTAGGATGAATCTAAAGAAAACTATGGAAGATTTATTTAGGGAATCATGGGGATTTTATAAATTCAATACCTAATAGAATAAACGCTGTTATAAAGCGAATGGAGATGTAACCAAATATTAGATTCAAATGGACGAAATTTATGAATGATAAATTTAAATGGCCATATAATTTATAAATTTATTTTTGAATTGTATTTTGATATTTTTTATTTAATAAAATTATTTTAATATCACTATTTAGTTAAAATCTTGTATAATTTATTTTATCTAAATTTTAAAAATGCATATATCGAAATGTGGGTAATATAATATTTTATTTTATAAAAATGCAGATAGAACATTACAATTCTAAGCCTACATAACTTGCATTATAATATTAAAAAAATCTTTTCAAAAATTATAAATAAATGAATATAGGATCCCCTAATAGCGATTCACGCACTCATTTCTTCGCTCCGGACCTTCTGGTTCCATCTAATCCGAACCTGTCCTTAGATTCTCGCAAAAGACTTTTCTCCGCCAATTATTCCAAACAGCTGTTCATCAAAAGGCACAAGCAAATCTAACACGTTTTAAAAATATTATTTCGCGCATGCGTTAAACTCCCCCCTTCTTCATAATAAAAAAAATGAAATAATGGTTTTTTTTAAATAAAAAATATTAATTTATATTTTAATTACTACTTTCTCCTACTTCTTTTTTTTAAATTTCAAATTACTTATAATTTAATTTACAAAGGCTTAAATTTCGAACTTTGTTTATTTATTTTGTAATTATTTCAAAGCAGACGACTTTTTTTTTAAAAAAAGGTTGCCATAACATTTCCGTTAGTTGATTATTAGCAAATTGATATTAATTATTTTGTACCTCAGCATTAGCTTCACTATAAATCCCTGTCCTCATTCCTTTCCAGATAAGATTTTGTAAGGTGGCATTTATTCTTATTTTAATATACTAAAATTTTATTACTTATATTTAATAGGATTTCGAATATTTTTTTTAATTTAGCAAAATTTTTTTAAAAGCAAAACATTATTTAAAAACCTCCCATTAGCCTCATTATAATCGTATACTATTTTAGTAACGACTTCTATAGTAACATATTATTTTTTTGTTATATATATATATATATATAAAACTATAGACTGGTTCATTATAGCCCACCAGTTTTCTTTTTTAACTAATCCCCCCCCCCATCTCTACCGCAATTTACAGCCAACCTCGAAAGGTCCTCTTAAAGATTATAATAATTATCATTACATAATTATGTTTATTTTAAATCTTCCAATTATATTATTCGAAATGTTTATAATAAAGTTTTGAAAAATCCTCCATAATTTTAATTATGATTATATATTTTTTTATTTATTATTGTAATAATTTAAAAAAAAATTAATAATAATTTTATATTTTCAAAATAAATAAATAAAAAAAAATTCTATTTTTTTAAAAATAAATTCTATTTAATAAAAAAATAGATCATGATCTCCTTGGCCCTTATGCTTTATAATAATAAATATTGAATCAGTTAGATTCTGGATACACTCCTTGGATTCCATTATTGGATTCCACCAATTTTCCACAATCTTAAAAAAAAGAATAATTTAAGTTTTAAGCAATGAGTATTTCCTTATAAAAGCATTGAATTAAATTATTGATGATATTGATTAATTCCTTCAACTGTAGAAACAGTTTTAAAACCTTTGATTATAAAAGGAAACAATGGAAGAATTCCACCCTCCCCCCTCCCATAAATTATAAGGCTTATATATATTTTTTATGATTCACGAACACTTTTAGCATGCTACATTTTTTGATTGGAGTAGGTAGCTACGTTACTTATCTAAGAAAGATTATTAACGCAACTTTTTGCTACTAACATTTTCGTATTTATATTAATAAACATACCATATTTCCAAAAATGTTATATTAATATATTATTATATATGTTAGCGGTAATGTGTCATTTTTTTTCCAACTTTAAATCATTTTTTGAGCACGTTTTTTAAATTTATAAAAATCTGATTCTTTTGGAAATATGTTCCACCATGTTTAAAATACCTATCCTATGAATTGTATAAGCAATTTTGCCGTTATCCTTTGCATTAGTTAAAAAGTCCTATTCGGGGAGATTTTTAAAAACGGTCATATTAAGATTATAACCCAAAATAATATAATGTAAGCCTGATGATTTTGCTCATGGATTTCAGGAAGGGTTGGGCTTCTATTTACCAAATCTTGAGGCTTACACAATTAGTTTGGCTAAAATTAAATGGGCTGTTTTAAAAATCGACCCAAATCGGGTTTTTTAACAGCACTACTTTGCATCATTTATAATTTATATGAAAAAAATCTCTGGAAAAACTCATAAATTATAGTAGTTCGTGACAAAATTGTCAGATATTTATATAGTAATCCATACTAGTGTTATTAAACGGCTCGTTTTGAGCCGAAAGAAAGAAAGAAAGATTAAAAACGGCTAACTCAATATTTCATTTAAAATAATATTACTCAAGCCTGAAGATTTTGTTTGTAGAAGGAACAAAGGTTTGGACATCATTATCGAAATCTCGAGGCTTAGGTAATATTTTTTTGGCTAAAATATTAAGTTAGCCGTTTTTAAAAATCGGCTCAAAACGAGTCGTTAAACACTAATTCCAAATATTATGAAATACATTTCCAGTAAAATCAGTTTCTTTAAATGACGCATAAAAATCACATTTTCAAAAAAAATAAATAATACATTGACGCTAGCATATTAAAACAAAATAAAACAAGAATAATAAGTAGTGATGTGAACCCTTCTACAAAAACAAAGGTTCCTGGTTCAGGGATAAAATTTTAAAAGAGGGCCCAGGTTAGGAGAACATAAAGAAATTATTGACTTAAAAATAAGACAATTTTTTTAAGTGAAAATTGATTTATAATTTTAAATGTTCTATTTAATCTCACAATCATTAACAAACATCTTATCAAATGTCATATTTGAGATTTTCAAAATATGTATATCAAAGCAGAAAATGCACATTTCTAACGCTGACCTAAAATAAATGGTTATCTTTGTAAATACATTATAAATTATTATACAGGCGTAGCTGGTACACCCATGACTATATATATTGAAAACTTTTCTTCGAATTTCAAATTATTTGCATCCTTATTTATTCTCTTAATTTGTGAGAATCTTTCCATTTAAGAATATATAATAGGAATTTGTGGTTTCACCTTTTAATCTCATAATAATTTAATTTTTTCTTCTCCCTATCTAATTTTTAAAGTGATCAACGGTGTTATTAATATCAATACATCAAGTGTAGCCTTCAATATATCGTAAAGAACGGAATTTTGCTTATGCCAAAATTTCTTTAAGATGATCTTTAGCAATCTCTTTTTGGTCAATATCCAATGGAACTTGATATCGAGAGTTTAAATATATATGGGCATAAACGACACTATTCTTCAAATAGTTTTTCTCTCGAATTTTCGTGTTTTCCAATATTTCATAAAAAATAACTAGTTAATTTTTTTAAAATCTAATTGGAATTTAACCTTTATAATAAATAGAATAATTGCAAGTACAATATTTATTCATCCATATAACACATACAAATAAAGGCAAGATATAAAATGTAATTGATCCGAATATCACTATAATAGATGATATGGGTGTTAGGTAGCTCACCCAATTTTATATCAAATCATAAATATATATAATCATATCTAATTGACGAATATAGTAATTAATAATGTATAAATAGTAGATTATAATATATTTCTACATTACTACAATATTATACCCCAAAAATCAAATAAACACAATTGTTATAATTGCAATCTTAGTGTTGTTATTTTTAAGGTTCCAATACATTATTATGCAAATGCCAAGGTAAACTGCAAATGTTTAGGTAAAATTATTTGATTTAATTGGAGTAAGATTCATTTTCTTATGATATGTATAACTTATAAAAATTATATTATTAATTGTATTTTATCTCATAATAAATAGTTTAAATCCTTTAATATAAATGTTGTGTTTTCAAACGATAACTTGTTTATCATTTATATTTTTCTCTTTGTTTATATCATACTCGTATATTACCATTCACTTTTTTTTTGTTCACTTATACCACCCTGTTTTGATTTCATTCTCGAAACTGGTTCTAGCCAGATTTCGAGATGGACATGGATGGAAATTAATTTTTGTTTATTATCATTTAATTTAAAAAAAATGGGGACTATATAAGACATCGGAAAAATAAATTGTATTCATTAAATATTTGATTTATTTTTTTTGTCCGATTATATGATATAATAAAATTTGACTGTATGTTTTACAATAAAATAAATTCATGTTACCTTAATTACTCGATGTTGTCCCCGTGATCCCATGACAAAATCGATACCCAAACCCGGCCCCCTGGATCCCACCATCCCGGACCCCCGAACACGGACAGTGTCTTCCCATCCCTGACGGTGGGACCCGTCTGTCTAAATTCAACACTGGCTCCCAACGTGCTTTAGATACCCTACGATCAAGAGGCCACCGACCAATAGCTTGAACGGTTTATGCTCATCAACCGTAACCAGACGGATAAAAATCTTTTAGCAGTATTCTTATCTTTCTGTGGTCACTGGTTGTATACAAAGATAAAATTGGCATATGCTCCAAAATCCATGGCAGAGCTATCAATGCAAGATATCAAGGTTATTCTAGGTAACAATAATAGTAACCAAGGACTAGCAATTAATAAACTCCGCCATCGTATACAACAGGATGGGTAAATTATTACCAAATATGCACATGCTTTGATTACGTTAGCCACGCAATGCAACCTAGACCCCAGCTGAGATCTATTCCTGTCATCCCAATTCGGAGCCGGAAATCAATCATCTGGAATTCGAGGCCAAGTAATTACTTCGGATGATTTAACGTTTAAGGCAAAGCTAAAAATAGCCCAAACTTGGGAGATAGCTGAATCTCTGAACCAAAACAATTCATGAAACCAAACCCATAATAGCCTTAATTATATAGCCACAAGATATAACAATACGCAATACCCACTACACCAGAATATGCAACGTAATAATAATCCCACTTGTTACAAGTGTGGTAACCGTGCCCATTACCAAATCGCCTTCGCCCTTAGACAAACATACAACAGTTTCCCGGCAACATCCTACCAATCTACTCCCCCGACCCAAGGGGCAAACCGTAACAACTACGAACGAGCAGGCTCAACGATCTACGAGAGGGAACTAAAGATCATCGGAAACCCCTCCCCTGAATAGTAGGATTTAAGCGGGGAGAATAGAAGTCAAACATTTTTATCGCATTATAACCCTTTTTTCCCCCTTTGTTTTTTATATACCTTCTCCCCCACCCCAAGAGTTTTTTTTAACTTAGTAGGATTAAAATCCGCCCTGACACCGCGGTGCGGCAAAGCCGTTATTTTTGTTAGATGTTTTTATATGTCTAAGTAAATGAACTTAGGATAAACACCGCTCTAATTCAGCGGTAAGGCGAATGCCGTTATTATTATTATTTTTTTGATTATTGATTATGTCCTAATTTAAATTAACTTAGGATTAAAATCCGCCCTGACACCGCGGTGCGACAAGGCCGTTTATTTTGATAGACGTTTTTATGTGCTTAAGGTAATTAACTTAGGACTGAACCCCTCTCTAATCCAGCGGTACGGCGTATGCCTTTCTATTTATTTTTTGGGTTGTAAAATAAATTTTTATTTAGGCCTGTCATCTGCCCTGATTCGAAAGGTGCGGCGGTAGTAGAAGTTAAGCGGGGAGGAGTGTTGTGTTTTCAAACGAAAACTTGTTTATCATTTATATTTTTCTCTTTGTTTATACCATACTCGTATATTGCCATTCACTTTTTTTTTGTTCGCTTATACCACCCTGTTTTGATTTCATCCTCAAAACTGGTTCTTAGTGTTGTTAAACAGCTCGTTTTGAGCCGATTTTTAAAAACGGCTAACTCAATATTTTAGCCAGAAAAATAATATCTATGCCTCGAGATTTCGTTAATAGATGTTCAACCCTTTGTGCCACCTATGTGCAAAATCATAAGGCTTGCATAATATTATGTCTAATAAAATTTTGAGTTAGCCTTTTTTAAAAATCGGGTCAAAATGAGCCGTTTAACAACATTAGTTCTAGCCAGTTTTCGAGATGGACATGGGAAGGAAATTAATTTTTGTTTATTATTATTTAATTAAAAAAAATGGGGACTATATAAGACCTCGGAAAAATAAATTGTATTCATTAATATTTGATTTATTTTTTTTTGTCTGATTATATGATATAATAAAATTTGACGTATGTTTTACAATAAAATAAAATGAATTAGGTTACCTTAATTACTCGACGTTGTCCCCATGATCCCATGACAAAATCGATACCCAAACCTGGCCCCTTGGATCCCATCATCGACCATCCCGGACCTCGAACACGGACAGTGTCTTCCCATCCCTGACGGTGTGACCCGTCTGTCTAAATTCAACAATAAATAAATTAAAAATAATTATATTTACATTTTAAATTTCATTAATATTCGTCGTAGTTCGCACTGTTTTTCCTATTGTTTATAAAAAATTAGTAAAAATGTCAATCATTTTAATGAAAAAACTTAGATTTTTTTTATATCAATCATATTTTTTTATCGTTTTGTGGAAAAATATTTTTATTATTCATTATGAATTTTATGTTTAAAATAGTGATTTTATTTCATTATTAATTTTTGTGCTTAAATTTTCGAAACTATTATTATTTTTTTATGATTATAAATTTATAAAATCATGAATTTTTTTTTATGCATAAAATTGTTAAAAATTATTAATTTTTGTGCTTAAATTTTCAAAACTATTATTTTTTTTATGCTTAAATTTATAAATTTTTTTTTTTAAATTAATATTTTTGTGCTAAAATTTTCAAAAACGAAGAATTAATTTTTCTAAGGTTTTTTTTTTATCAAGTTTGGTTTATAAGAGTTATCGAAGTATTATTCTGTGTAAGCCTTTGGTTGTAAAAGTTCTGATATTTTTCGTAAGCTCTTTGATTTTTGTAAATTCCCTCATTTTCGGGTTCTTGTGATTTATTGATTTTCTATAAGTTCTTTCCTTTTTTTTTATATTTTGGATTTAGGTAAGTTTAATATTTATTTATTTTGTTAATATTAAATCCGCAAGTTGGCGTATTATCATTTAAAATGTAATTATAATTATTTTTAATTTATTATATCGTTATTATGAGATAAAAGGAAATACAACTATTAATGTCTATTCATTTATTATTTAATATATCTAAGAATATAATTTTTTATAAGTTATTTATAGAATAAGAAAATGAACCTACCTATAATTAAGAGAGAATATAAAAAATTTTTTTTACCTAAGCATTTTTTACCTTGGCATTTGTAGTTTAGTCAAACCGTTATATATTGATTCTAAACAAAATTTCTTATAAAAATTAACATTGTTTTTTGATATAAAAAAAGGACATGTTTATTTTTGCCCGTTTAAATTAATATTGTATTTTGTTGATACTTACTAAAATATGGATTCAGATACAGTTTATAAATGATTAAATAAATAAAAATAATAGGCAAATAAAAATTCTTTTTAGACAATTCAATATTAGCAATAGAGAATGGGAAAAATATGTTTGGTCGGTCACATTGCTTCCTTACAGATCTCCTACAAAACGATCTCTCCTTCGTGATGTGCCTAAAATTTGCCTTAGGACGTGCCTAAGCCTTAAATTTTGCGCTATTATGCATCAGACCTCGCGTAGCATCCGTCCCAAAAAGAAAAAGCTGACCTAACCGTTCCCATTCTATAATTGCCTAAAGAATATATTCTTAAATTCGAAAGAACAGATGTTACTCAATTCAAATGGTTAATCAGCACCACAAACCTCGCAGTTATATTCTTTATTCCTCTTTAAAAGATAAACGCTCTATGGCAATCATTTTTAAAGAAAATATGACAATATTTTTTGGCTTAAATTTTAATAAAATAAAATTTAAATATAAAAAAAAATTGGGATATAATAATGATGTTTTTTTTTGTAGGACTATTTTTTTTTTCTTCTTAAAATTAGTTTAATTAACAACAATACTGCTATAAGATTATTTATATAACAAAAAAAAATTAAAGATAATTTTAAACATGAATAACATTAAATTAGTGCGTGAAACTGCAAATATTATTATTATAATTAAAAAAATAAATCTAAAAAAAAAAAGGAGTTTAAAATATAACCTATTCGGATCAAATAAAGCATGTTAAAAATAATTACATTATATCACATCGTAGTTGGATTAAAAGAAATATTATCATACAATATTTAGATTGGTGCATATATGGCAATATTATATAGGTAAGATCATAAATTTAAATATATCATAAATAAATACGAATTAGACTTTAATATATTTTTATAAGATATTGCAATGAATAATTTGATTAATTTAAAATAACCTAAATTTTGATAGATAAAATAAATGTTTTTTTTAAAAAACGGAATATATTAAAATATGAATTTATTTAATGTATATATATTTTTTTTAAACTAAATAGCTAAGTTATATTATAATACTAATTGATTTTTCGTGACATGAGTAACAAATTATTAGACTTTTAAAATTCTATTTATTATTTTTAAAAAAAATTTTCTATCCAACAATATGTTTTTGTGTATGACTAGACGTAGAGATCATCTTGGTTTCGGTTTTAGCGGCGATTCCCTCCTTCATTAGCCGGTCCAATATGGGCTTGTAAATCTCCCGAGTTAAGGGTAAGATAAGACCCTTTCCCTGTATTTCACCTATGGGGGAGAAAGCATAAGATCATTAAAAAAAATTAGAATATAATTTTATAAAGTATTTATATTGGTTTTGATATGGGAATAATTTCTTTTTTAAACCTTCCAAGATCATTTTAACAGCTATTCCACAAGGAAATCCCACGGTTTTAGCCATGGCCGTATGTCCGTTAGGTTCTCCGTAAACTATCAGCGTCACTGTCTTCAATTCCTTTTAATTTTTTTATAAAATAAAATAATAATAAAAAACACAGATGTGGGAAATAAAAAATGAAAAAAGAACAAAATACAAATTAGAAAAGAAAAGATAATAAATAGAATTTTTTTTTTTAAAAGAACAATGTAATAATTATAAAAATGTAATGCAGCCTTACTTTTTCGAGGGGGTTATTTGGTTCTTTGTATATCACGAAATTGTGCCTCAAGATAATCATGTCCTTTTCATTTTTTCCTATATAAATAGTAAGTAGGAGAAAATATGAAAGAAAAAAGGGAGATAATTTATTCTAAACCACGGCCGCTATAATTTAGAAAAATAGGAGTTAATAATTATAGTGCTTCTATTCGTCATTAAGGTTAGAGACCAATGATTAAACTGTAAAAAAACAGTAGGATGGAGGGGGGTTAAAAACTTCGAGAAGGGTTATAACCGGAAAATAATTAAATCGTTTTTTTTGAATTTTTATTTATTTATTAATTTAGAAAGAAAGTTTTATTCAACTTAAGAGGGAATATATCTGTCTTATTTCATACACAAATATGTGATTTTTATTATATATATTCACCGTAGGACAGCGTTTGGGCTAAATAGTTAGATACGGTATCCAATAGAGTTACCTTTTTGTCAACCTTTACTTGGTCAGATAACATGCCCAGTCTTTAATATTATAAATAAAAATTTTAAAAAAATGTATTTTTAAAGAAGAATTTAAATTTTCGATGCTTAAAACTTTGTTGCACATTCGAATTACTTTTTATAGCAAATAAGGGGAATTTAATATAATCTTTTTCAATCTTTTCCTTTCTTTCTTCCGTGGGTTAGTAAAAGATAAAATAATGTGTACTCTTCGAACGCTTGAACTCTTTTAGAATCTCCCACTTTTTCGTAAACAAAGTTTTCGAGAGTATCTGCCATTATGTCACTGGGTTTGCCTAAAATGTTGCACATGAGGGATTTCTTTTTAAAATTTTTTAAAAAAAGGTAAATAAATTCACTATACCGTATTTTAAACTAATAGAGTGCTTAAATTCGCGCCATTTTTAACAAAATTACTTTTTTATGAGTTTAATTTTGTAGAATTTTAAAAAAATATTTATATTAAATATGAGCCCTATCATCCATCCCTCAGACAAAAAAATAAATAAAGCTATTTAAATTGAATTTTGTAGAGATATTCATTTAATAGATTCAAAAGGATTTAGTTAAAAACAAAATATTGATAATGGGGTGCATGTTTAAAGATGGAATTTAGAAATAAGGAAATTGGTTATAAGACCTTTAAAAACCCCGTTTAAAATCATTTTAGCCTACTTTTACTAAGATTTAATGAAAATCATTATTTAATTTAAAAAAAATTTTTTTTTAAATAATTTAAACGTGATACCCATGTAAGACTAGGAGCCGATGGATGAAGGATGGGAAGGGTGAATTGATCGAAAAGTCCCATCTGATGAAAACCTTTGATAACATTGCAAAATCCCTGGTGAATAAATAAGGGTTAGTACATAAAATAATAGGAATATTACTTTTATGGCCAATCTTTACAGGGCCATTTGATTATACTCCTTTTTATGTCATTCTCTCAAACTTAATAGGGAATGGTATACGGTATCTAGCTAAAGGTCGTCGATTTTAACCCATCCGCCCATTTATATAAAAATTTTGCTAATCCTCCACTCCTACCCCCTCCCCTTCCTTCCTTCTGCCTAATATTTCAAAAATTTGTTTAGTTGATTCTTTATATTTTAAACACTTTGTATCTGAGCGTTCCGCGGATCAATGTCCTCACGCTGGGTATGTCATATTCTTTGACATAAACCGTAGAATCTCTGTTAGGAAAACTTTCCAAATTATAAGCAGGCAATTCGGTATAATCCCAAGGGGAATTTATTATAGACCCATCCGGAGGAATCTCCACGACCTTTTATTTTTTTAAAAAAATATAATAATTTTGATATTATCATTATATATATATATATATAAAAATATTTTGTAAATAATGGAAAATATGTAGAAACAGAGTCCTTTTTGGATTTTTATTGATCAGGCTAGGCCCAGGCCTCAGCTCATCAAGGTCTCTGGTTGAAATGAAAGATAAATGGGGAAACTAATGTATCTATACGACTAGTATTGCAAATTAGCCATGACATATAATAATACCTAAACCGATGATGCATTCATTATAATGTATTTGAAAGCGTCGGTCCCGGCATTTTGGTAACCCATATAGTAATTATTCTCGTGTTACTACTATTAAATTGATAACTTGCTTCCTTATTATCTCTATGATCAGGCAATTCTTTAATAAAGTTTACGTCAAGCATAGGAATAAATTGGTGGCTCGTTTAAAATATTTAATAATGATATGGGTAAACTGTTTTCATTGACGTACACTTTTAATGAATGCATTGTCAGTCTAGGTATTATTATATGTCATTGAAATTAGCCGGGTCGAACGAAACATCCCGGCCAGGCTGGGTTTTACTTGTAAAAAAATCCACCTCATCCAAAAAATATCCCCATAAACTTATGAATTTCTCGATTGAATCAAAAAAAAGCACAGAAATTTTTAATTACCTTTTGGTCTTTGAGATATTTACAACCGGAAAGCGAATTGAGGAGAACGCCTTTAGGAAACCAACTTGTATTTATATATATTCAAGAAAAAATATATATTATAATTAGTTTAGAAAAATGGGTTGATGAACCACGGAATTTAGTACCACAATTTATAATTAAGTTATTCGTTCCCTTTTATAGGTCGGGAACCGCTCATTACGGCTGCGTTCTAGCTCTTCAAAGATAAAATATTTACTTAGCTTGTTTAATAATTCCGAAACTAAATGATTTGTCTAGGGGGATAAAAGAAACATATTCCGGCATCTTAAAATGAAATGTACATAACTTATTTTGTCTAGGTATAAACACAGTGCTAAAAAAAACTTGTGAAACACACGTAAAATTAAGGCTTCATTCTATCTCGTATTAAATTTTGTTCTTAATTAATAGAGCATTCTATTTAAAAAAGCTGCTATAGGTCGCCCTTTTTTTCCCTTTACATTTTATTTATTTTATATAAGATTTTGACATGTAAGGTGATTGATGGGTGTCACTCGACGTATTTCCTTCTCATTTATAAGTCTAAAACAAAAATTCACATTCTATCTAGACAGAGCCATTTTGAATTTTTTAAAACTAGTACAACATCCTTCCATATATCTAATAAACTTTGAAAAGGGTCATACTAAATTTGAAAACTTTTTTTTTCCCCTTTAAACGGTTCAATTATTAAATTATATAACTTATAAAATTTACCTGAATTTGTATCTGAGAGGATTATTAGCGAATTCGGGGGCAGGGATTCCACCACAAAAGGAACTGAACTCTATCAACTAGTATAAATATATATATAACTGATGTATCGAATATAATATCATAATTTTATTTTTACTAAATCTAAATAATAGTATTTTGCTAATTTATATTTTAGGAGGTAATCAGATAGTTTTTTTTTGATGGGCTATTTTTAAAAAAAAATATATATCCGCCATTTACAACATTATTTTTAGGACTTATTTATCGTCTGTTATTATAATTTGACTAAATTATTAACGTCGATTCCTATAAACGATTTTGACACGTTTAACTTTTAAAAATCATATTGATGCCATTTTAAACCATTTGATGGTTAGTTTTTATAATATCAAAATATTTAATAAAATTAGTTTGTTTTCCAAATAGGAAATATTATGTGTTCTCCAAAAAGAAATAAGCATATCTATTATAAATGATTCTAAAATTAAGAATCATTATATAGCTGATTATTTATTTTATTATAAAATTCCAAAATAGGATTTTAAGAAACACACGGCCCAAAAATAAAATATTGGAAATAACCTTGTTTTTTTTAAAGATAGTACTAAATTCTCAAGGAATAAGAGGATATTTCTCTAAAAATCTTTTGATATTTTCTTCTTCTACTTCGTCGGTTAATGGCGGTTTCCGGGTAAATCAGTTTCCTATCTAATCCATTTTCTCTACCTTTTCTATTTCAAGACCCATTATTCACATGTCATCTCCTATATCACCTTCCTTTGAGCCTTCGTTGGGTTTTCTCGAGGCCTCGATCCCATTACTTCCATCGAAGTGCATTTTTTCACCCTAATCATGTTTCGTTTTTCGTTCAACGTGTTTAAACCATCTGAGTCTATTTCTTCTCATGACCGCCAATAGTTTTTATTCAAATCCCTTTCCGCATTCACTGCTTGTTTTTCATTTTCTCAAGATATACCAAACATCCATCTAAACATTCACATCAATTTACCTTCGCGTGCCGCTTCATCGCCCACGTTTCACCAACCGTAACCTATACAACTTACATAAACTTTTCCTTCGACTTCAGAAATAAGTTTTAATTTGTTAAAAATATACGCCATCTCTAGTAACTTCTTTCATGCATATCCAACTCTTGCAACAACAGCAGAATCAACACCTCGAACTGTATTCAGGATGCCACCCAAATAACAACACCTTCCCATTTTTTCCAAAATAGCTCCATTGTCGATATCTAAACCACCCTAATTTATGTCATTATTGCTAGCCTCTTTCAGGCACGTTCTATATATAAAGGTAACACTTAGTATCATTAGACTTCAAGGCCAAGTGCCTGTTTCTTCCATATTTCTTAATCCTTCTTCGTTCACTTCTAAACCCTTTGCTTCCATAACCGTCTTCCATATATTATCCGATCCTTTTAACTCTGTTTCAAGTGTTGCCGGCAGTACAAAATTATCAGCATACCATAAGTTCCCCTGGCAAAATTATCGGTATACAAAAGTTCCAAAGTCCTTTATGTACCTCTCTAGTCACCACTTTCATTACAATGATAAATAATAATGGACTCATGTCATCCTCGATGCAAGACCCATCTTTAATTCAAAGCTTTCGCATCACTCATACGTGCTGGGAATTTTCGAACACTGCCATCACTGCTTAAGCCGATCATTCCTCAACGCCTTTTCACTCAGAAGTATTTTTTAAATTTAGATAGTTAACCGTTACCTAAGGAAAAATTTGTTAAATATTCTTTTTTTTCAATAGAAATTATAAAATATGGAAAAGTAAGAATATTTCTAGGTTATATTAACTTGTTTCCTTTTTTCCTTGATATCGTCGAAAATCTCCATGGCCAACATATGATCTATACCGGGGTCCAAGCCGCATTCATTCACTATGCAAATATTGGCTTCTTTGATCCTTTTATTAGTAATAAAAAAATTTTTTTTTATAAATTGTTAGAGAAAAATATTTTAAGGGTAAGACCTATATGAAGATTCATCTAACAGTGCCACTGAACTGAAATAGATTCAGGGGAAATTCTTTTATGACAATAAACTTTCCGCCATAATTTCCCCTCTTCCGCCTCCAACTTTACGCGTTAGTAACTTTGGAAGAGGGCAAAGAAAAGAAGAAAGATATATTTTTTAGTTGTATATTACTTATCCTGTAAGAGTCTCATATCCGGGCTAACGTAGCTAGTCGTTACCATATTTCGTTTGTGTTTTATGCAAAGATTTGCTATGGATGGATGGTAAGTGAACGGCAGTAAACTTTCAAAAATGTAAAGCAAATAAATTCTTCTTTCTATAAGTATAAATATATAATCGACATTTTAAATAAATAGCCGTCGTTAACTCTTATCATTTAGACTCGTTCTTAGAAACCACGATGATGGTCAAGCGATGAGTAAATTAATCGCTAAGCGATAGCGTAGTTGTAAATATAATATCGTGCATTTTGTAAGCGACGCGGTTAACATGAACGAGGTCTTAGGCTTACTAAAAAAAAATTTAGGCGGGGCGAAGAACACTTCTGCCATATCCTAGAGACGTGCTTGACAATTAGCGTTTTTAAAATTAAGATGTATATCACTTCAAGGTCCGAAAATTTATGCTGAGTATCAAGAGATCTGTAAAGCCCGGCCGCTAGTCCCGCGAACAGGGCAGAAAAAATTTTAACGGACTGAACAAAAAAATTTTAAAAGCCGGGTTGGGTTACTTGTGCAAAAACTTTGGCCGAAATGGACCGGGCCCTTTTCAGACGTCTAAAATATATGATAATTATTAGAAACCTGACCACTATGTCACTTTCCTTTATGAGGTCCTCCAATTTATGTTTTTGCTTATCGATATCCAGCACGGTTGGGTTAAGGTTAGAAGCCCTAACTTTATCCTTACCGCACGTAGTTTCCACTACCCTTTGCAGTTCTTTTTGCCACGGACTCACTTTGATTTATAAAATTTAAATAATTCTTAAAGAAAAAAAAATGAGATAAATTGTGTTAAACACGTAATATCATAATTTATAAATAAATTGGAGGGCGGGGTTTATAAAGAAATATAAGTTGGTGTGAGGGTTAAAAATTTCAAAACAACAAGTCGGCAAGCTTTTTGGCTGAAATCCACCTATTCCAAACCTCTAATTTACCTATCCTTTATTTTATCCATTTATCACAATATTTATTATTGAATAATAAAAAAAGGAAAAGTAATCAATACCTATGGTAATTTCGTATGAATTTTCTCTGGACAAGTATTCTACTACGGGCCCACACACGTAACCAGCTCCTAGGATGAGAATTTTCGGTTTTTTCCCGCTACTTTTAAATGTTTGTCTAAGGCGTGAACGCGGGCGATATTTATTATTTTAAATAATAAGAAGAATTAACCATATTGACTATTGAATCGATTCTGACAAATATCACACAGTGATTTTTTTAGACTTTTGAGATAATCAATAAGAATCACAAAAATGAAGATATTTGTAGGAAGATCATAATAATCATTTTTTTATAGAAAAATTTGAGATTTATCATGAAAGATTTTTATTAGTTCAATATTTTAGCCAAAAAATATTGCCTAAGCTACAAGATTTCGATAAAATATGTCTAGACCTTTGTTCCTTCTATGAGCAAAATCTTCAGGGTTGGGTAATATTTTTCTGGATGTAATATTGATAGCCGTTTCTAAAAATCGGCTCAAAACGAGCCATTTAACAACACTAATTTCTATGCATAAAATTTACAAAGGATTTACTTATAAAAGTATTTACAAATAAAGATTTGGATTAGGTAAAATTTGATAAAACAAATTGTTTGAACAATCTCAAAAAAATCTTCAAAGATCAAAATCTTTGAAGATTTTTTAATTTTGAAGATCATTTCAAACTCTAATTTGAATGGTCATTTTTCTTGTAGGAATTAAATATAAAATTTTTCGAAATATCTTTTAAATTCAACATGAATGTTTATTCATAGTGTGAGCAACTAGAGTAGACCCTGCATAATTTGACCATGAATTTATTAAGTAATCGAATAAATATGAAATGTCAATATATTTTGAAAGAAACTATAAAAGAAATTAAGAAAGTTTAATTTGTTGTACCTGTCACAATTGTTAACCATAATTTTTTTTAAATCGATGAATTCTTTCTTTTTTAAAAAAAAGAACAGAACTAAGTATTTATTAATTAATTTCTTCTTTAGAAGCTGTGGCCAAAATATAATTCGGAAACTTTCGTGACTTTCACCGAAAAAAAACAAGCTATTTTTAGTATAAAAATAAAAACATATCTTAAAAAAATGATTCTAGAAAATTTCAAAATTTTTGAAAGTTTTTTCATTTTGCGAATTTTAAAAACTATTTAGGACACACATTATCTGAATAAATTTGGTCGTTGTTCAATGATTGTTTTATGGGGCATTTTTGCCCTGATTTCGAAATAATGCTTTTTCTTATAATTAATAATTGTCACTAAATATGTATTAAAGACTATGTTCAATATTCTTTTTGGAAAATTTTAAAGAAATCGTTATGTCAAATTTTTGAAATTTATAAAAAAAAATTTAAGAAGTTATTTTTTATTTTTTAAAATAGCTTATTTATTTCGAAAGCTTTGTGATTTAATTTTTTGATGTTTAGGACAAAGCCTTTAAAATTTTTTTATATTAGACTTCGATATCGGTCACGCATAATAAATTGGAAATATAAGAAGACAAAATATTTTAATCAACGTCTCTATTGTTTAAGGATCGTGGTCCAATCTGGGCCAAAGGGACCGGACTATAGTGAACCAATTCTAATTATTGGTTATGCTCCTTCATTTTATTTTTTTTGCAAAAATAAATTTGATTTTGAATAAAACTTTTGAACGTTCCTCAATTCTTGTATGTAAGCAAAGTTTGGGGTCAATTTCTTGTCGGAAGCGATAATGGCCTTTTAGAATAAATAATCGTTAAAAAAAACTATATTTATATATGTATATAATACTGAAACATACTTTAAAAGTGATCAATGATAAGTTGGTCAAGATAAAGAAGGTCCAGTATATATATATATACACATAACAGAGACCTGCAAGCCCGACCCTAAACCAAGCCCGGGTACACGGGCTGAACCGTATTTTAATTTTTAAAATATACTTAAGCCGGGCCTAAAAAAAATTTTTTTTTTTTTAAAAAGTTGAGTTAGGATGGTGGCCATTTTGTTTTTAAAGAGGTAAAAGCGATTACTTCGAATTTTAAAAGGAAATATTTAAATTTGTTTTTATGGTCCGACCGATGTCCTAGTGGGGTCATATAGGAAGTTAACCTAAAGTGACCAGACCAGTGTTGCATCCCGGCAAAGGTGATCATATAAAAATAAAGAAAGAAATGTTCTGCTTAAAAAAATCAATTTACGTTTTTGATAACAGTGCTGATCTCTATCTTTTCGAGTGGAACCTTCGAAGTCGAAAGCTTGAGCTATTTTTTATATTTAAATTTTGAAAATAAAATAATATTCAAATTTTTATATTTCCTCTTTTTTCTTTTCCTTTCTTTCTTTTCTTGTCTTTTCTCTCTTTCTTTCTTCCTTCTCCAATCTCTATACCCCCTTTTTCGAATACTTTAATTGTTATGAAAAATATTCAATATGAATCTACACCTTAGCCTAAGATAAATTTTTTAAATAAATAATGTTTAACCCGCCTTGATCCTGTTTTGCAATGAATGAATGAAAATAGACTTGAATGAATGAATAAATAAAAAGAAATTTTCTCCCAATATTATATCAAAATGATGGTGCTCATTATACGTTTTAGAATGATTTATTTTTCTGTTAAAGAATTTTTAAAAAAAATGATAACCCTGCCCCCCTCCCCTTTTCACCACTCGAATTTTAATAAAGTTAAGCCCTTTAAACTATGATTAATTTGTGATTTCCGCGTAATGTTTTCCGTGTTGTGTCTCGAGATTTTTATATAAAAGGAGCATGAACGTTGGACAGAATCGTCGCGTTAGTTACATTCTAAAAATTAAAGGACACGTGACTAATTTTCAATGTATAAGACTTCTTAAGAAAACAATATTATTTATAGTAATAAGGTTCGATACCCTCTAGACCTAACCCCTAAAAAAATGTCCATGAGACAAACTCCCCGATAACGAAAACATACAATTAAGTGATTATGTATGTTTATTAAGAAGATACTCCCCCCCCCCGAGATTTTAATGGCGAAATTCTCCCTCGCCCCTGGTGGGAGGTCCCTGATAAAGATATGCGCCTATTCTAATTTTAAAAAACGAACAAGTTTATTATGCATAAACGAGAACTAATTTTTTCTCCTTCAAAATTTCGATCATCGGAGAAAGAAAAAAAATTATTCGATTTTTGAAAAAAAACTCCTTCCTTCTTTTTTAATGCCTTAAGAAATTACGCCATTATATACTTATATCGATTTCATAACTATAATTAAATAGAGACGTGATACATGATTTATAGCGCTTTTGCCCTCTGACGTTGAAGATTCAGCAGAGCTACGCTAGGTATTCCTCAGTTCCATCTAACTGGAACTAAAATTCGGGTAAAAAAAAATGAGGAGCCCTCTATACGTTTGCGGGCAAGCCGCACGTAATTGTACGCGCGAACAGTTCGAAAAAAATATTGCTTAAACTTCTATAGGCATTTTAAAAAAAGTAGCATGAAATAATGTTTATATATCGCGATAATACAAATAAAATATATGATAATATTATGTTGAATAACCATATCAGGAATGAAGGGCAATAAGAGTTCACCGAAAAAGTCTGTGGCTTCGATGGGAATCTGCGTGGGCATATTGTCTATCGAGCACACCAATATACCTATTCCCGTATAACTTTTTTTATTTGTTTGTATGTTACGGTTTTTTTTTGTAATTCGAAAACAAACAAAGAAAATTGACATTCATTCATAAGAAATTTATTTGTTTACGATTATTTCTTCTATGGATAAGGTATTTATCACAATTCTCTTTTTCTATATTTTAAGCTAATCTAGCCAGTTTTGTAATCGAAAATGAAGGGAAAAAAAGAAGAGGTAAAAAATAGAAAGAATAAATAAAATAAAAATGTAAGAAATGAGGAATGAAAATTAAAAAAAAATAAAGAAATGACAAATACATATTTTTTTTAAAAAAAATTAAATTTAAAAAAACCTTTCGGTATTCTTGTTCTGGTCGGCGTCGTAGAGACAAAAAGGCTTATCTATAGTAGTGCACTCGCTCATAAATTCTATCGAGCCACCGGGGTCGGCGGAGATATCGCATATGGCTAACAATTTGTGCGGTAAAGGAGGGCAACCGCCTTGAAAGTAAGCGTTATCCCCAACATCGGGGCTAGACTTAGCCCAGGAATCCGAATCTTTTTTCGTCGAACCGCCTCCCATAGTGGCTTTAGACGGAGAAGAGCTAGGGCAAGGTTGCAACAACGATTTCGCGGCTGGTATGGTAATTAGCTTAGGGGAGTTGGGAGCCCAGTAAATACCGTTAACTATCACCGTTGCGTACGGGGCAATCTGAAATTTTTGAAGGGGGGGGGGGAAGTATAAACAACTATGTTCATTCTTTTTGTTTTTTTCTATATTTCTTTCTTTGTTTTTTTTTCATTCACTCATTTCCTCCCATTAAATATCCTTATTTATTTTTTTTTGCAAACCGTTTTACTGAATGAGGATATGAAATTGTCGGGATGATTATCGTAATCGTTAGCATCGAATACTCCCTTTTCCTTGTGGAGTAAATGGTGTTCCCTGCTGATAACGCAAGCGTAAATTTTGTTAAGCTCTTTAAAATGAAATATTTAAAAGTATTTTTAAACAGAACTTTCCTTCATTCAATAATTTCATTTTTTTTGTTCGTGAGCTCAACGGATACAATTTTCGTACTAGCAAGTAGTAATAACGTTCGCTAAGAAAAGACGAAGAGGGCCTCAAGCTCCCTTCCATACTTTGGAAAGTCTTTTGATACCGTAAAATTCTAATATTAATCACCCCCCTCCTCTCCCATATACACTTTTTGAATCCAAGAAGAACTTAAATTTACCAAACAATCAAATGTAAAATGCTAATTACAGAATTTTATTATATCTTTAAAGGAGGTTGTTGTATATTTATCAGGGCTCTGAACCCTCATTCTAAAAAAAGAAGAGTTCGGGTTCAGGGGAAAAACCCTGAACCAGGTATGGATTCAGGGTTCGAAGACCAGAAAACTAAGGACTCAAAAAATTTAGTAAGAAACATCAGCATTTTTTAAAAAAAGTGTGTAATTTGTTATATAAAGTATTTATTCACCATAAAAATAATTTATCTTAATAATTATAGTAATACGAAACACATTATGGAGCCGCTGTATCATCCCAATTCAAGTGGACAGGAGGAGATAATGCTGGTTTTGGTCAAAAATTATTTTCAAAACTGAAAATATGAGGAAGGAGAAACTTGGGCGATGTTCGTTTAATATAATAATAGTAGGAAGGGTCAAGAAGATAGCCCAGCGGAGAAATTTATTTTGGCATTGAACTCAAATTTTGTTAGATACATTAAGACATATGCCGAATATGGAGATAGAGGTGGGGGATGATGAAACATCGAAGTGTGTAGCGGAACAAACAGTTTGGGGTAGGATATTTGGGAGTATCAAAAAGTTGGAAATTGGGAGTGATAATGGGAAATGTTGGGCCCAAGTTAAGTCGAGTGAAGTTTGCAGATGGGAGAAAGGGAGTTGGGCATCGTGCCCAGTTACAAAAAAGGGTGGAACCCGACAGATTAAGATCCCGTGAGGTGTCATAAGAACAATAAAGAACTCGTACAGAAAAAAAAGATAGGAATTCAAGTTTATGTAGGTGATCAAAAAATAATAAGTGTACAATATATATATGCTTGTACTGTAAATTTAAATTTATTAAAATAAAGGAAGGGGGTGGGGGTGGAAGCATTTCCCGAAGGAGAAATACACTGCTTTTTAATATATAATATTTAACACGGAAAAAATATTCTTTATATAGGTTTAAAGGTATAGGAAGAGTATTACTATTGGGATATATCAATTAATATATGAGATGTATTTGAACATTTCCTGATGTAGTGGTGGGTAAAAGTTAAAAGAAAGAAAAGAGTTTGAAAATGAAATTTAAATAATACAATAGGAGATTGTGTAATAAATATCACAATGAAATTGAGATTAAATAATTTAGAGCAAAGCCATAAAGTGATGAAATGGGGAAAAAAAGAAATAAAATTGAGCGAATGAGCTCCTTAAAAAGTTTCTAAAGGGAGACAAGAAATAAAATTTGGCGGTTTTTAATCTTTTTTTGGATTCTCCCAAATTTTACGAAAGTAAGAAGAAAATCTAATTTGGCAGGTGTCCTTAATTTTATATATATATAAATTTTAATTGCCATATTTGGTAAAAATAGTAAACTTTGATTAGTAACTTAAATTGTCAAATAAATTTGTATGTTTTAGGGTAAAAAAATGTAGAGAAAAAAGTGATGAATAAGTGCAATCATTACAAATACTCTGCATCATTTAATTTTTTTATGGAGAAAAATTTAATCGATTAAAAGATATTATTTATGTAGCTATGGGTTGGTACAACGTATACGTTGAAAAGATGAACATCAGGAATGAGTATATATTCGAATCCGCCGGGTGAATCAAGACAAGCATTCCGAATTACTCCTACCCGGGGCACAGCTGCTCAACCCCGGAAGACGAGGAATGCAGTCCATGAGGATGTGTTATTATTGGAAAGCTAGGAGGCTCGCTAGAAGACCAAAGAACGCGGTTAGACCTGTACAACCAAATGAACCCATATCAAATACCGGCGGGTAGTTGGAACGCCAGCTTCCCAGAGTTGAAAACGAACTGATTGGAGATTGACATCATGGGTGCAGAGTGGAAGATTTATTGGGGGGGGGGGTTGATTCTTCGATAATTGTTCAGTTTTAATTGGGTATTTAATTTTTTTTTAAATTTTTTGCCAATTAATGATTTGATTATCGTAAAAATTATTATGCGAATAACGTTATTTTTTATCTTCCTTATAAATAAAATATGAGGGCGAGATATTATCATATTTTCCCGTTTTTTTTGAATAAAATAAATTTATGAAATATTATAAAATGATATTATGATGTATTATCAAATGTATCTCGATATACGATAAAGTTATTATAGAGGTCAGCCACGTCTCTTCTCTCGAGAACGAGACGGGACAAAACTGTTTTAAGGGGGAGGGGACGCGTCCATTTGGTCCCAGCGGACGTTTTAACTTTATTTAGAGCTATCGTATTTACATTTTCTGATATAAAAAAAAAATAAAGAAAATTTCTTAAAATCAATTCGCGCAAAAAAAAAAAAGATGAAGAAAAATTAAATCATTAAACTTCCGTATTTCGATATCTTAGGAAGTGTTGCGGCGTCGACGTATTCGTGCGGAAGTTCATTAAAAACCTCTCTTGCGCCCTTTAATATTTATAAATTTTTTTTAAAAAAAAAGTTTGATAATATTCTCAAGCTCATTTAAATAAATTTTCCTTATTGAACGAAGCTAAAGAGTGTCCTCGTTTGCTAAATTTATCATTACGGGGTAAAAAATGTTGGGGCTTGTAACGCGTTACCTTTATTTAAAAAAAAAATAACGCCCATCGGTTGTGTGTTACATATCATAATGGTATTGAAAACTGCGAACCTGTGAAACGTTCCCAGTACCCGTGAATATGAAGGTCAGTGGTCCCACCGATTTGGGCATCAATCCCAGGGCTATTTGATAACCGACGTCTCTTATGGCCTGTCTAGCTACGTTGCTGTTCCGATAATTGTGAGCCAGGCCTACGTTCTATTTATATCGAAATTAAAAGGTTTTAGAAACACATATCTTTGTATAGTAGGTACGAGGAAAAATATAGCGGGCGACAAAGATCCAGGATTTTAAATGCATTCAGTATTATTTTTTATTTTATTCCTTTTTTATAGTAAGATTTCAAAAAAAATCTCTTTTAGAAATATAGACTCGAAGCCGCAGAAATGGATGCAAATGAGGCATTGTGCTTCCAAAGGTTCAGTGGAATATGATTTACATCTCCATTTATCCTTAATATGATTATTAAATAAATAAGGCACTCCAAAGATATCAACATAACATGACTTTTAATTATATACCACGAAAAAATATTTGAAAATAATGTGTATTAATATTAAGTATTTAATACCATGAAAGGGGTATGATGACCCAGGGCTAAGAATCGCAGTCCCAAACCGTGCAATATATTGATCATACCCGCCACACCAGCATATTTGCCGAACGCTATAACCCTTTGACCGTTGGTGTCCACCATTTTTTCGTAATCGATCAATTTGATATTCTTGGTAATAATATATACTTAAAAATATTATTACTCGATGGGTGTGTTTCATTTCATTGAAGAGATTAAACCCGTATCCATTAATTTGGAGGTTCCACTCCGGTTATGAGTCTGAAAGTTTTTAGAGTTCGATTCGGGTTCCGAAATAATCGAAGCGGTTTAGGTTAATAAAAACATGTATACAAATGGGGTTACATTCTACCGATTTGGATAAATTGTGTAGAAAATTATGTAAGGACGCTTACCTTTTCAACAATAGCGTCGAGGAGTGACATATTATCGATTTGGGCTTTGTGCGTGTGCGAGAAAAAGAGGTAAGTCTTATTGGGGATAAGTTCCTCTATATTGGACGGCCGCTTTACGCCAATGATCAACGAAGCATCCATTATATCCTCCTGGATTATGGCACCGGCGTTCGCGTATTCCTTAAAGCGGCGAATTTAATTTTATATATTTAACTTAAATTTACACAAAGATATGGTGGTATGTTTTTTTTAATCGCTAAAGAAATCAGAAAAGTTAGAATTCTATATTTGATAATTTATTATATTAATAAAAACTTTCTTTCTTTCTCTTCTTTCTTTCTTTATTCCTTTCTTTCTTTCATTTCTTCGAGATTTTTTCTCCTGTGGCATTCTAATAATTGAAGAATAAAATAATGAACTATATATATTGGCTGTAGTCTTGTAAAAATGCCTTTCTTTTTTTTCAATAAGAAAACAATTTTTTTTTTTTTTAAAAATGTTTGCCAAATTTTATCGGTAAAAAAACCAAACTAACAGAAACCAATCAATTAGATAAAATACATTAAAAAATATATAATTGCGATATAGAATATTGAAAAATTTCATTTTATTTAACGATTTATTTTGGCTTTGATTATTATTTTTTATAACCATAACATTTTGGTATTCGAGCTAAAAATTCTTTCTTTTCTTTTCTTTTCTTTCTCTTTTTATCTTTTCATTCTTTCATTCTTTCTTACTTTCTTCAACAAAAACAATATTTTTTTAGATACATATGTAAAGTGTAAACGCTTCTGAAGCGTCATTTATTTCCTGAAAGACATTTTTATTTTCTTATAATCCTGATTGAAGTGCAATGAAACCCTCTCGTATAATTATATTTAAAACTGTCCAAAACATCAGAATAAGACTGTCCAAAACGTCAAAAAAAATTTGATTCCAAATTTTCAAAAATTAATTGACTCACGCTCGTGCTTACTAAGTTAACTATAAATAATAGAGAAAATATAAAAGCGGACTCAAATTCTATATCGGCCACGATAATATGACAGTATTTTTGTTTACCCTTACGTGTCATTTTTACAAACCTTCCTATAAATACCATTTATTTTTATGACCGAGGAACGATTTTCTTCCTCAGTGGCTTAGAGGTGTTTGGATTGTCTTCTTATAACGAGGTAAAAAAAAATAAGTTAAAAAGGGCCAATTTTTTAAAAAACGGCGAACTCAATATTTTATCCCGAAAAATATTATGCAAGACCGAAGATTTTGCTCATAGAGATAGCATAAAGGTGTAAGGACATCTATTAACGAAATCTCGAGGCTTAGGCAATATTTTTTCTCGAGTTAGCCGTTTTATAAAAATCGGTTCAAATTTGTTCAACAACACTAAGCGCCACTGAGTATATAAAAGCTACATATATAATAAAATATAGTACAGGGTACACACTACGCATATACAACGGTAAAGCCTGATGCGAACTGAATTTAGTTTAATATGAGATGACTATGACTACACTGTTAAAATGGTTACATGTCAATACCGCGAAAATTTTAGCGCGAAATGTATTATCGCGAATGCATTATCGCGAATGTCGATTACCGCGAAAAGATATTATAGCGAATGCATTATCGCGAATATAATATAGCGAATGCATTACCGCGAATGCATTATAGCGAATATAATACAGCGAAAATATTATAGCTAATGTATTATAGCGAATGTATTATAGCGAATGAATTATCGCGAATCCATTATAGCGAATGCATTATAGCGAATGAATTATCGCGAATGCATTATAGCGAATGCATTATCATATCGCGAATAGAGTTTCATGAAAGTTATTTTATAGTAATTTTAATAATTATTATATGGTCATTTTATTATTAAGAAAACCTCTCATTTGTATATATGCGAATATAGTTATTTTAGTAATTTGTTTTTCCTTAAAAATATATATATATCTATATTATCATTAATCATAATTAAAATTAGACATAAATTTGATATAAAAAATAAATTTTTTATTTTTATAGGCAAAATATATTTAAAAATAATTTTAAAATGGCGTAAAATTATTTATGACCCAGACAAAATGTTTTTAAGATTATTTTATCCCTTTTTTTTATTCAAGGGTGTTCTGAGAATTTATATTACAGCAACTGGCTTGTTTTTTAAGAATAGTAAAGATTCGAAAATTTTTGTCATTTTATTTTACATATTATTAAAATATTTTTATTTTTTATAGAAACAAATTACTCAATATATCATTTAAATAATTATGATTAAAAGTTATAAAGGTTTAGATCTAGAGATATATAATAACTTTGTTTACAGGCTTGATAAAAAGGTGCCTCCTACCTACTACTATAGGTGCGTAGAGAGAGATACTCACAAGTGTATGGCCAGGCTCACATGCCGAAAAAATGAAAAAATTCCAAATAAATTCGAGCACAATCATATTCCGGATATTGCTCATTCGGCCAAAGAAGTTGTGCAAGGTGGTGGATGATTGTGAGAGCTTCTTGTACGGTGTATTATCCTTTTAATAAGGCTGGAGTTAGGAAACTTCATTGCGATGGATTCATCTAGATTTGACGATATCTCCGAGATAATCATACTGGGAGTATCGATAGTTGTTTTCGCTTTATGCTTAATTTCGTTAACAATTTTTCGTGACTCAGTTTGAGCAATATCCAGAATATGATTGTGCTCGAATTTATTTGGAATTTTTTCATTATTTCGGCATGTGAGCCTGGCCATACACTTGTGAGTATCTCTCCCTACTCACCTATAGTAGTAGGTAGGAGGCACCTTTTTATCAAGCCTGTAAACAAAGTTATTATATATCTCTAGATCTAAACCTTTATAACTTTTAATCATAATTATTTAAATGATATATTGAGTAATTTGTTTCTATAAAAAATAAAAATATTTTAATAATATGTAAAATAAAATGACAAAAATTTTCGAATCTTTACTATTCTTAGCTTATTTATTACATTACGTTCAGATGGCTTTAATTCTATACTTTTTATGTAAGTCTTAATTTTATCTTTTTGTTAATTGACATAATTTATTTTATTCTTTTTGACCAAACCTTTTTACTCTATCGCTAGTCCATACTCCCTCTCTATTAATGTCTAATATAAATATGTACATTTTTAATCACTTTTTGGTTTTAGTCCTTTTCCTATTTTGTTTTTATTACAAGATACAATTTAATTTTCAATACAAAATTAAAGATAAGTAGTAAATTTAAATAGTGACACACTGCTAATTGATCTTCAAGATCCTTGTAAAATATTATTAATTAAAAGTATTTTTTACAAATAATTTAAAAGTAGTTTTACAGTTCTATTTTCTTTTCAGTTTTATTTTTTCTTTTTTAATTTTAGTTCAGGATACTGTATAAGGTAATATTTAAAATATGTTAAGTATTAAATGTGTACATTTTCTATTTTACTTTTGGTTTTAGTCTTGTTCTATTTTATTTTTAATACAAGATACAATATAATTTAATACTAAATTAAAGATAAAATGTAGTAAATTTAATAGTGACGCACTGCTAATTTATTTTCTAGATATTTGTAAAGTATTATTAATTAAAAGTATTTTACAAATAATTTAAAAGTAATTTTATAGCTTTATTCTTTTCTTTTTTCAGTTTTATTTTCCAGTTTAATTTTAGTTCAGGATACTGTATAATATCAAATACTTAATCTATGCATATTTCTATTTCCCAGTTACTCCTAAGACTTAAATTGTAAATTGTAACATTGCCAATATGACCCTCCATAATCATAACTTACTTAATCGGGCATGGGCTTTTATCTGTTTACTTCCCATGGGCGTTTAAGTGAGTGGCTTTGCCACTTACGCGCACAGGTAACTGCGGCCTGCCCAAAAATCGTGGATGGTCCTCTTAATTATTTTCCCATTTTTTATCCCAGTTTGATGGGTTTTTTCATAAGAGAACCAAGCGTTGCTCTGTTGTATATATAACTTTTGCTATATGTATGACGTTTAGGGCTAGTGCGCTTAATATCACGTATCACCTTAAAAACATGCCAGTTGCTGTAATATAAATTCTCAGAACACCCTTGAATAAAAAAAAGGGATAAAATAATCTTAAAAACATTTTGTCTGGGTCATAAATAATTTTACGCCATTTTAAAATTATTTTTAAATATATTTTGCCTATAAAAATAAAAAATTTATTTTTTATATCAAATTTATGTCTAATTTTAATTATGATTAATGATAATATAGAAATATATATATTTTTAAGGAAAAACAAATTACTAAAATAACTATATTCACATATATACAAATGAGAGGTTTTCTTAATAATAAAATGACCATATAATAATTATTAAAATGACCACATAAAAATATATAAGTTAAAATAATAATTATTCAAATGACCACATAAAAATATATAAAAAAAATAAATATTCAAGTGACCACATAAAAAATATTTTAAAAAATAAATAAATAAAAAAAAGATCAAAAATTTCCCCGTGATTCAGGTAGTTACCCCTTTATCAACGCCAAAAAAATTATACTTTTATAGCTATTTTTTACATTACTGACAAAATTGAATTTAACATATTTCAATGTCATAATTAGTAATAAAATAAATAATATAAATGTCGTAAATTAATATACCTGTGTACTTCGGTCTGCATTTTTTAGCTCTGATTATTTAAAGCCCTGCCCTAAATTTCCAAATTTCGTTATTTTGAATATTTCTCTGTATTTTATAAATTGTTTTATACGGAATTTAAGATAAGTAAATAATATTAAAGCATAATTAATATGTTTTTCACTATAATATTAAACGGCATAAAAATATGGATTTGTGGCCTTCTGTCTCTCTTAAAGTTAAAATTGTTTTAAACCGTATCATGAATAATAAACCAATTTGCACAGTGAGATTTAGAAATAATTAAATAGACAGAATATGAAATTAAAAAATCTTCTTTTCCTATTTCAGAAAGTCTCATAATCATTATGTTTAAAAATATTTATTGTAGGCATTCCCTTTCAAGCAGAATAATATGATTTGAAAATAACTTACAAAATATTAAATATGAACTAAATTCACATATCATCTATTGATACCACCAAAATATATAATTAAATATATTTTTTATCATTTTAAGATTTATATTTGAAACAGGAGTTGGCATTTATTATTTTTAAATTTAACAATGTTTAAATTTAAAAAAGATAAGATTTTATGTTTTAAAGCTATAAAATTAATAATTTTGACGATTACAAAAGATTTAATAAGATAGAGGTCTCAATCCAATGTTCCCCTTCATCTAATCTTATTTAAAAAATTTAAAAAATTATCAACATATTTTTTTAGGGCTGGAAAGGGTTAATCATATCAGTAACTAGGGGCTAGTAGAATTAGGTCGAATTAATTATATTATGCTTAAAAATATGATATAATAAGTATTCATTGGCTATTATAGCTTTAAATTCTATTTTTTTCCCTTTAACTTTCACCTTTTCTGGTAATTGATAATCAAAAGAATTAGAAAAAAAATTAAAAATTCATGGGGCTTGTTGGGGCAAAAATTCGCTTTGTACTAGAATCAATCTTAAAATATAAAATATTAAAATATTTATTAATAGGGTCTTTTGTAAAAAACGACTTAATCTAATCGTTAAAAAAATTGAGTATACCAAATTCCACATATTTTTTAATAAAATACGAATTTCATAAATAACAAGTGACGTGTTTTAGAGGTAAATAATTTTAAAACGCTACTTTAAAAAAATATAGACAATTAAGCTGGTTCTCTGGTTTTTTGGAACTTAATAAATGGGTTAAATATAATTTTTCAAATATAAATCACTATTGCATTGTGATAATGTTAGTTGTAATGCATTCGCGATATTGCATTCGCTATGATGCATTCGCGATAATGCATTCGCTGTAATGTATTCACTCTAATACATTCGCTATGATACATTCGCGATAATACATTCGCTGTAATGCATTCGCTATAATATTTTCGCGGTAATGCATTCGCGCTAATATATTCGCTATAATACATGATGCATTCGCGATAATTCGCGGTATTACATTCGCTGTAATGCATTCGCTATAATGTTTTCGCGGTAATGCATTCGCTATAATGCATTCGCGCTAATATATTTGCTATAATACATTCGCTATGATGCATTCGCAATAATGCATTCGCGGTATTACATTCGCTGTAATGCATTCGCTATAATATTTTCGCGGTAATGCATTCGCGCTAATATATTCGCTATGATACATTCGCTATAATGCATTCACGGTAATGCATTCGCTATAATATCTTTTCGCGGTAATCGACATTCGCGATAATGCATTCGCGATAATACATTCGCGGTATTGACGTGATACGGTTAAAATTGATATTAATACCATAGACCATATATTTTAAAATAAAAATAGCAAAATTTCTAAGGTATATTTTCGTATTTTTTGTAAACCCTGATTAGTGCAATTTCTAACCAAATTAACGGCATGATTTAAATATTTTTAAAACCTAACTTACTTAGAACTTATTTTCTACGTTTATCAATGTCGTTTATAATCCAATAGGAACTATTTTATATTAATTAATTCGTTAAACTGTGACAATTATTAATATTGCAATATTTATAAATGCAAATTAACTCCAATAATAATTTTATTTTTTACTATTATTTTACTTTTAAAGGCAAGGTTTTTCTTTTAAAAATATAGTAAAATTTATATTATTATTTTTTCCTGTATTACGTCCATTGGATAAGCCCGGCGGTTGGAAGGTTGAAGTAACACTTTAACTCCCTGTGAGCATATTCTTTTGACGTGGAAAGGTGCTAAGGGGGCCCGCCTCTCCCACAGACTTTGAGTTTCTCGTCTTATGGCCACGATATTCTTATCGGGAGGCTTTTTGACGACTTTATCGACATTCTGTATAAATTTTATGGATTTTGGGTGGGAATAATTATATTGGCGTCTGGGTAAAGTAAACACGTTTTTTCGTGACTGATAGTTGAGGTTGGTCGAGTATTGTTTACGCGGGGAGAGCAGTTTGGAGTAATAACCGGTTGTTTTGGAGGTTCTCTTAGCGGTATTTTGAATGGGGTTTATAGAAGAACAATTAAAATGAAAGAAAGCGCGCGAAAAAAAACCACTAGTGACATTGGCAATAGAATCCCGGGCAAATAGTGACGAGAAATGATAGGCGTGTGTCTCGGGTTTGAGTCTGTGTAATAAAGTCGTTCGCGCTAATTTACTGCAAACCATGGTAAAATTTTCTCAAATTTTAATATAGATCCTTTTTTGATTGATGGATTTTTAAAAATATATTTTGATAAAAGTTATCGGCCGAAGATTTTTTTGATTGATAGATTTTTAAAAATATTTTTCGATAAAAGTTTTAAAAATTATTTTATTGATTTATGGGAATAGTTATTTCAGTGATGTTTTTTTTTCTCGTGGAATGAATTATTATCTTTAAAAAAAATATGCGAATGATATATAGATGATAAATCTTTTAAATTTTATAAGATAATAAGCAATTTATATTCTTTCTTTCTTTCTTTTTTTTTTTCTTTCTTTCTTTTTTTTCTTTCTTTCTTTCTTTCTATATCTCTCTTTGGATATAAATTTTCAAAATCCTTTAAACTTTATATCGACTTCCGGTGGAAAATTTGAAGTGATAGAACGGTAAATATTATTTTATTTTAATCATATTTATTTACAGATTCTATGTACATTATATCTCAATATTGATAGCAATTATAATTTACACTAAAGAAATTAAGCTTAAAATCAGCCATCACCCACCTTTAAAGTAATTAAGTTATACTGTAGTTCTCGGGTATAGGCTTTTTCTTTGTCCCACTCCTTTTAAATTAAAGCCTATAGAGGTTTAAGCAACATTTTTCGAAATGTTGTGCCTACAAGTACGTGCGGCTTGCCCACAAACGTGTGGAGGGCTCCTCATATTTTTACTTTTATACCCAAATTAAATTGTTCCAATTAGATGGAAATGAGGAAAACCTAGCGTAGCTCTGTTGTGTATTCAACGTTAGAGGGCGATGCGCTATATATCACGTATATCTCTCTTTCCTTTTCCTTTTATAATTATCCCCATAATAAAAACGTTTAGAAAAAAAAGGTATTTTTAAACAATTGGCATTTATAGATAATTGATTAAATTTTAAAATAAATAATTTATTTATATGAATTCGCCATTTTTTTTATCTGCCAGAAACAATATTGTATAAAATAAAATAAAATATAATATAATCAAATGATAGAAATTTATATTACATATAATTTTCTTTTTAACATATTTACATTTAACATTTGAACTTTGATTTGGGATATAAAATAATTTATAAAAATATATAAAATATAAGCACAAACATTTTAAAATAAATCTTATAGCTGTTATCTTGTATATTTTTTCTACATATTTTGCTTGCAATACTTATTTCTTTTAAAAAAAATTTATGGCAGGTGGAGAAGGGGTTATCGAGTGTTGGGCATAATTTACCTTAAAAATGAATTGATTACTATATTCCTAGTAGCTGTTAAAAAAAACTTTTATATGGCGAAATCAGGATTTTAGTAGGGCAGTGCCGATAATATCAGATCGGGATATATAAAAGAAGTCATCTTGGGTAGATATTTTCAAAAAAAAAGAACCGATCGTATTATCATTGATTTTAGTTATTATAGATTATGGTCCCAACTCAGGGAAATCGCAATTTACAGCAGCCGATTTATTTAAATTCTTATTCGTTTATTTATAATCACATGATCTGTTAGGTTTGATAGGTTTTTTAATAATTTATGTAATATCTCTCAAATCTTTAAATAACTTTAACCCGTAGCTCTCTAACCTTTAATCCTACTCCTTACACTCAGATACAAATACATTTCATCCAATTAAAAAAATTCCTTCAGCTGACCATTCCTTGAGTTGAGCGATTGTCATAATAATGAATGTGAATAATTCTATATTTATTTTTTTTTGTAATGCCTAAAAAAAGGTTTTCTCTTTTTTTCTTTCTTTCTTTTGTTACATTTGATAAAAAAAAATCTAAAAATATTTAACCATACCACATTCAACCATAAATATTGATCATAAAAAAAACACAATATATTTAATCATTTCGTGATAATGCACTAAATAAATATGACTTTCTTAACCATTTTGCAAATTTTCCTGTTCTCGTAAATATCCTTTTAAGCTAATAAAAAAAAACCTTAAAAAATGTACACAAAATATCATTATAAAGAGGAATTTAAAAGAAAAATGAGTCTAAAAGTTAATAACTTTTTAAAATAAACGACCATGATTCAAAATTTTTAAAATATAATATAGCCAAATGCCTACAATAAGTGGGCCTAAAGCCCTCCAATAAAATTTATGCCGGAAAACCCAGCCGAATAGGCTTCCCCCTCTCCCCCTAAATGAAAAATTCTGGATACGCCTATATTTACGCAGCGATTAATTCCGCATCGCTTGAGTAGATCGGGCTCACTATAAATGCGGCGTTACTTGTCTTGATCATAGTTTAATAGTTACTTCTTTTTTTAGCAAAAAGAATAGATGGTAAATAAAAAAATATATCTAAATATCGGATCGGTTTTATACGAATATTGGGTCGGGTAAAAATCTCGAGGATCAGCATAGCCCTATATTTTAAATATTACTTTAACCCCTAAAAATTTCGTCAAAAAAATTAAGCAAAGTTTGGTTCTTTTGGCAAAATCTCGAGTCTTGTATAATATTATGTTTGGCTAAATTCTTGATTTGGTGTTATTTTTTTTTAAATTGGCTAAATCGTGTTTTTTTTATAATTGTTTAGACATAATTACTAATTTTAATTACTTTTTCAAAAAAAAAGTACTCAATTACCAATTACACTTATTTTATTTTTGTGAGTTAGAACTAACTGCAATTATTTAATTATTTTTAAATATTTTATTCTGCAAATTAAAATAAGTTACAAATAGGTAAGCTTTGCTTGGAAATAATTTGAGAAACCTTATTTGAACGTTTTACAAAAAAATTCACATTTCATTGACATAGAGATATACAAAATAAAATAAGTAAGGAAAAAAAAACTTGTGAATAGCTCTTATAGTAAGCTTAGTGTTGTTAAACGGCTCGATTTTGAGACGACTTTTAAAAACGGCTAACTCAATATTTTAGCCAGAAAAACATTGCCAAAGCCTCGAAACCTCGCTAATAGATATCAAGACCTTTTTGCCATCTATGAGCAAAATCTTCCAGCTTGCGAAGTATTATACTAAGTTAGCCGTGTTTAAAAATTGGCTCAAATCGAGGCGTTTAAGTATAAATGCTTTGGGGTATTTTCATTAAATTTTTCTATTTTTAATTATATTTTTTTTTTCATAATTGATATCAAGTTATCAAACAGAAACCATTTGTAACATAGTTGAATCAAATTTATTTAAGTCATTGTTCAGAGCTAAATATCGCCATTTGGTACTTATGAAGAAATGAATGTTATATATTAATTACTTCAAATTTATATTTTTAATTGTAATAAAACCTAACATCGTGATGCTTGATTTGGTAGTGTGAAAATTATATAATATAAAACTCTATTAGTAACAACGCTATTTTATAATTCACACAATTTACCAATACAACCCTGAAAAAAATTTAAAAATTTTTAAAAAAGTTGTTAGAATTATAAAATCTCGTCCCTTTTATACTTTTTTTGGGACAAAGAAATCACGAGATCCACACGATATATAAAATCAGGCGACTACATAAATGCTATATATATTAAATGAAATAATTTTTAAAAATAAATATATATTACGCGAATACATGAAGTATGTAATATTATTTTAAATAATAATATAACATGCCCTCTATAAATGAGCTCATTCGACACCCATATTGTTCGCCCAGTTGTGACTTTAGAATATACACACTTTTAGAAATTTTATCAAAATATAAACAATATTTTTCTATTTTAAATAGAAAATTACTCTGCAAAGAATGTAAAAAAGTTATCAATTCTGATGCATGTATTTGCAAGACCTGTGATACATGGGTTCATAAATATTGCATCAATGTACCTGATTAATCTTATAAGACTTGGACTTTATTACAAGCACCATATTTTTGCAAGTATTGTTATGAAATAGAAGATTCATTAATGAGATTAAAAATCTCCCCGGATGTATCAACCGCTAACAATGAGTTAGCTTTAATTAACATTTACTACAAGCATCCCTCTGGTGAAAAAGATAGTAAATATGTAGGGAAAGTAGATAAAATTTCCAAAAAATTGCTTGAAAGTTTTCGTCCAGAATTAATTAAAAGGTATTTACATAGGTCTTGCATAAGAGATGGAAACTGCTGCTATAGAGCTCTTTCATTGGCAATTTATGGTGATGAAATTTATCATTTATATATAAGATGCGTAACTGCCATAGAAATGATAAAATATAAGTCAACATACGATATAAATTCTGTCCTATATATATTAAGCAAAAAATACAATGGCTTAAATATTTGGGACACTAAATATGATCAATTATTAAAGGAAGTTTTGACGTCGATTGAAGGGTGGGCCGAGATGGCTCATATATATGCTGCAAGCCCAGCTTTACAGAAATGAATTGGGTCCTATCATCTTTTAAAATGATAATTGTTTAAAAACAAAGATAATAATCCATATAATCGTGAGGTTTATGGAAGATCTGTACCTATATGACAACCAGTGGGTATAAATATTTTATGGACAAAAACCTCATTAGGGATATTGCAATGTAATCATATAATATATCTGCAACCTGTGTGTAAAACATATAGTGACGACAATACATAATCATACCCATCGTATATCCATTCCGATTTAATGAGTAATCTTTAATCTTGGAATTTAATATTTCTACATTATTATCATTTGCTGGTGATGATTTCAAATAATGGGTAATGTTATATGGTATCGATTTTAAAAGGATATATACTTACGAAATCAAATTCTTCGCTTGAAATATATGAACCATCATCAGAGAGTGTTGGTGGAGACATTTGAAAATCATAATAAATATAGTCATGTATAGATTTATCGCATTCGATATCCAAAATTTTATCATCATTCGTTACCTTATATGTATTACACACAGGTTGCAGATATATTATATGATTACATTGCATTATCCCTATTGAGGTTTTTGTTCATAAAATATTTATGCCCACTGGTTGTGATATAGGTACTGATCTTCCATAAACCTCACGATTATATGAATTATTATCTTTGGTTTCATGAGAAACAATCATTTCATTTAGGTAATAGGACCCAATTCATATCTGTACACTTGCAGCATATATATGAGCCATCTCGGCCCACCTTTCAATCGGTGCCAAAAGGTCCTTTAATAATTAATCATAAATAGTGTCCCAAATA